AGGGACTGGGGGTTTAGCTCAGCGGCATAAGCGCCTGCTTTGCAAGCATGCAGTCGTGAGTTCGATCCCAAGTACCAATTAAAAAAAAAAAAAGGGAGAAGAGATTCGATTGGTGAAAGTGAGCTAGCGAAACACCCACTTGGGGGCTGGGGATTTAGCTCAGTGGCATATGCACCTGCCTAGCAAGCAGGCGGTCGTGAGTTCGATCCCTGGTACCGATAAAAAGTTAAAAACAAAACACCCACTTGGTAGTCCAGATAGAAACCTCTCCTTCCCAGGAGTTCTTGGATGCTGTTTTTATGGTGGCCTCCCTACTGCCCCCTGCTGACAGCAGTGACACTGACGAGATGTTTTCTCTCTTGCAGGACCTCCTGTAAGTACTCACCCGGAGCAGTCGCCTGTGTCATCTACCGGTAACGGGGTGCTGGGAGGGCTGCTTCCAGGGCCCCTGTGTAGACTGCTTTTTTGCCCACATAGGGAGAGAGACCACTGTTCTGTCTACCTACACCTCTGCAAAGCAGGCAATGACTGTCCCAAGGCAGAGCAGGCCCTGATTTCATTCTGAAAGTGATTTGCCCCTGTTAGACCAGCTCCTCTGTCCCCCAGAGAGGCACCCAGAGTTGAGAAAGCAGAGAGTACTAAAAAGGGGAAAAATTCTGCTGAAAAGTTATTTCTCCCTCCTCCTGCTCCTTAAAACAACCCTCCCCATTCAGAAAGCAGGTCAGGGAGTGGCCTGCAGTGTGGACAGCCCAGGGGTCCCTGTCTTCCACTCCTGTGAGCAGGCAGCTCCATCCTGGCCAAGTCACTTGGAGCAGGTGGAGCTGGCAGTGCCAGTTGTGTGCAAGAGCAGTGTCAGCTGGTCAGGCTGGGGATGACACATAAATTAGGCAGCGTGTCACCCTCCTTCCTGGGCCTCACTCCAGGGTGGGCAGGGAGCCGAGCCTTTCCAAAGAACCTGGGACAAGCCCAAGGAGACGCCTCCCTCTCGAGGTAATGGATCCAGAGAGCAGGGCACGTGTGCTCCGAGGGACAGCATTTGATACCCCAACAAAAGACCCAGAGGGCGCTGGGGGAGCCCTTGATCAGATCGTTCTCAAGGTTACTGAAATCCACCCCGTCACCATCTCTCTCTCTGAGAAGTCATTTCCATCTGTGAGAGCCACCCACCTGATTTCTAATGAGGCCATTATTTGTATTCCGTCGGTGCCCCAGAATACCCTCAAACCCACTCAGGACCCTGGCAAGCCCCCGTCTACTAGGTTACAGCAGGCAAGCAAAGAAAAGTCTGTTACTCCCTGAGAAGAGGAGAAGTCATTTGTCATGATATTTTGGGGTTGTCAGATACCAATTGGTTTTTTTTCGTCTTTTTCGTTTTTATCGGTACCAGGGATCGAACTCACGACTGCCTGCTTGCAAGGCAGGCGCTTATGCCGCTGAGCTAAATCCCCAGCCCCCAGATACCAATTCTTGTCATCCATCTTCCACAGTAAATTGCCACAAGGACAGGGCACCTACTGAAACTGGACTATGAATCCCCCTCCACCCCCCAAGGCCAGCTTGGCAGTATCAGCTCAGAGCACCTGCCTGATCTCAGGGTCCTCCCTCAACAGGAGCTCAGCATCCTGAAAGTGTGTGTGCCTGACCCAAAAGCTGTTCCTCTGTAGAACACGAGCAAATATAGAAATAAGTGGGGGACAGGAGTCACTGCTTCTAGTCTCTGTCCACCTGGCCACCAGCTGAGCCATGGAGCAAGGGGCAGGGGCCCAGGTGGCTTCCCCACATTTGAACCTGATACAGCAGAAGAGCCCCAAATCTCTGCCAAGCACTGGCAGGAGGAGACTGAAAGGCAGGAAGAGGCAGGAGCAGGGACCTGGCCAGGGTGGAGTCACAGCCACAGCCCTGCTCTCTCCTCTCCCTGCTAAAGAAGGGTGCCGGTGTCTGAGGCAGGGGCCTGTCAGCTGCCTAACGGGTGGATCCTGTCCTCCCCGCAGAAGTTCCCGTGAGCACAGGGTCAGCACACGGCATGGAAGATGGGTTGATATTGCTGTGGGGACCACTGAAGGTTTGGGGCCCCTGCCACCCCATCCCTCACATGCTGGGCAAGCATTGCTAATCAACCAGGTTTTTTTTTTTTCCCAGGAGGTTTTTTAACACAACCTCTTGGTCAGTTACTCCCAATCCTTTGGAGCTAATGCTCTAGCTGACATCTGTCAGCTGACCCATTCAGCTGACACATTCACATTCAGTTGACACATCTGACCCATTCCTGGGTCAGATTTGTGGGCATTTTCTTAATACTGGGAGCTGTGACCCTGAAACAGATGACCAAGGGAAACAGGGGCATCTCCTTCTCTGAAGGAAAATCAGGAAATATTTCACATGCGCTGCTGGGGTGGCTGCACCTGATCCTTGCTGACTGCAACCTGACCCTTGCCATGCATGGGACGCTGGCAAGTTTCCAGGAGGATGACTTTCCAAAGCCTTGCACTGTCATATGTTCCAGTTGTGTGACTCAGCAATCATTTACCCTCTCTGTGCCTCAGTTTACTCATCTGTGAAATGGGAATAATAATAGTACTTCTCCTCCTTAGGGGTACTATGAGGAATATATGTATATATAACTATTATACACTTAGGTTTTTTTCACTTAGAATATATACACTCAATCTTTCCCAGAGGTTTTTATAAGTTTCTAATTTTAAGAAGGAAATTGTTATTCTGTGGACTTTTTTATATTTGATTTTTTTAACCCCCTTCATTCAAAGGAGGAGGATAATTTACAGACCAGAAAAGGAAACATGGGGCAGGAGGAGGACATAGAACAGAGGCAGGAATCTTGGCTGTGAGTTCCCTGGTCAGTGGAACAAAAAAGAAAGCAGAGATTTGCAAGACTCAGGTTGCCTTGGGGTAGGAGTGCACCTGGCTTTCCCTGGTGCTGAGGCCTGCGATAGTTCATCTCCTGTGTCCTCGTAAGGCTTGCACAACCTGGGCGGAGTGGTCTGTAAGTGCACAGGAGCAGTAAGTAAAAGGCCCTCTGTTCCAACCCCAGGCACAACCCCTATGGGAGGCAATAATCTTGCCCTGGCTCTGTCCACCCCCATCGGGCTGTGGTGCAGTATCCATGGGCAGGCAGGAAGTGAAAGCTGGTATGGCCTTGAATCTGTAGCTCCGGGTGTCCTTCTGGGACCTGGGAAAGTGTGGAGTGGAACTGTCAGTTCATTAATTTCCGGGGAGGTGTCCAGGAGGACTAGGAGCTCCTCCCTTCTCAGGCACTCCAGCTCACATTTCAGTGCTATGGGGCAGAATCATTCAGAAGGCTGGGGTGAGTCCTGACCCCCTGAGGGCCATTGTTCAGCTTTCCCCCCAAAGACTCCCAGCCAGCCAGAACCCCTAAACCACTCCTGAGCAGCTGTCCTCAGGACAAGGGTGGAGTTTGGGGCGCTTACTCCTGGTGCTGCCTGAGTTGGCCTCAGCATCCTGCAGGGATGAACTTATCTTCCAGGGGCATTGTGAACCACTCCTGGCTCTGCCCTTGGTGCGCAGGAAGAGCAGATGGCTGGACAGAGAGATGCTGCCTTAACAGAGCCAGCAGGGCCAACTCCATGACCCTCCACGACATGTTCTTTCCCCCTACAACAGTAACAGCAGCCAGCATCCGCCTAGGCTTCCTATGGTGTGGCCCGAGAACTCAGTGCTTTATATACACTTCTTGCTTAATCCTAAAAAATGAGTAAGGATTGTTCTTATGTGTTCAAAATGATGAAATACAGGCACAAGGAAATGGAGCCCCAAGTAGGCAGTGGCAGAGCCAAGACTTGAGTCAGGTGGATTCCAGAGCCTGAGCTCCTAACCCAGAAACTGTAATCCCTCTGATGGAGACGCCCTCCCCTGTCCCAGACCCAGGCCCTGCTAGGGCAGGCATTCGGTTCCTGAAGGCCTCCCCAGGGCTTCTCCCCTCTTCAAGGCTCCCTTGGTGCCCCATGAGGCAGTTCTAGGCAGTTTCTCAACATCCCTCTTGTATTACCATCCATCCAGAAGTCAGAAGTCAGCGCTAAAAAGACGTATCCGTATCTTCAGGATTTGCTTGGCCCCTGAGCTTCCTCCTGTTCATATTGCAACAATGATAATTATTCTAATCTCTTACAAGTATCTTTTGTTAAATGCTTTCCTCTTTTCACTGAGATTTCAGATCCATTTTCTGGACTCTTTAGTTTGTGCCCAGAATTGTGCCAGGGTCATGAATAAAGGGCAGGAGGCAGAGCTGTGGTCAGAGAGAGCAGGTTCCTGGAGACTTGGGGGCCTCCATGTACCAACCTCCTGCCCCCTCTGCAGCCCAACCCTGACCCACTGTGGAATGAACAGTGTGCCTCTGGTCAGAGACATGAAAGGAAGTCCCCCTACCTCTGTCACGCTGTTGTAGGAAAGCTCTAGCCCTGCCCTGTATACGATGATCACAAATCGCGGACTCAGCTTTGGCGGGTTGAACAGGAACATCTCAGTGGATGACAGGCTCTTCCCGACTTTTCCCATGTAGTGAGACAGGGGAAATTCTGGAAGTCCTTACGAGGTGATGGTGCTGCCACTTGCCATCCAACTCAAGGGTAGACTTGTAGAAACATCGTAGTGCATCCGTGTTCACCAAATCTGTCACAGCGCAACTTCTGTCTCTTCCCCAAAGTCAAAGTGGCACCATTTTGAATCACTTCAGGACACTGAAGCAGCCACCGCAGCACACCTAAAGACACCAAAGAGATCTTGCAGAACTGCTTCAGAAACTGACAAGAACAATGGGATGTGTTCAAAGCGAGGGGGAGGATTGAGAGGGATTCACGGCAATGTCTTTTACTGTGATAATTCTCCTTAACGTTCACCTCCTCCCAGCAGCCCACAGAGCACGGCGGTTCACGGCGGGGCACACAGCTGGCTGGGGTGGTATGGCGTGGTTGGCTGCCCAGCACATGACTGTGTAAACTTCTCTTCCCTCTTTTATCCAGGGCCCCACTGGAAGACCTGGGCTCCCTGTAAGTAACAGTTTCATTTCTTCTTCCCTCCACTCTCTTACCTGTCCTTTTTTAATTTTTATTTTTTATTTTGAGGGGGTTCTGGGGATGGAACTCAGGATCTCGTGCGTGCTAGGCAAGTGCTCCACCACTGAGCTCCTCCCCAGCCCCTCATGTCTTCCCAGTCGGGGGTGAGTGACTGATTCTCCCCAAGTGCTCTGGGTGAGGGGCCTCTCCTGGGTCTCCGGTCTGTAATTGAGGGTGACGCTTTCCCCAAGCTCCTTACCCAGCTCTACATGCCCTTCCTGGCTGCCAGGCAGCGAGCAGAGCAGGAGACCCTCCCAGCACTGGACCTGCCTTCAATACCAATGGTCCCTTAATGGAAGAGCCAGGGGAAGGGGGTGGCAATGCAGTGGCTTACTGAGATCCTCCTGTCTTCCAGCTAGTACCCCAACCCCTGCACTGTTTTCCTCTGTACCCTCACAGGTAGATTCTAAACTTTCGTTTTTCCCCGGTTTCCACTCCTAAATTCTAAAGAGGCTGTACCAAGTAGAAATAACACCAATATCCATATCTTACTAAGACTTTAATAAGTGCCAGGCACACGCTAATTGTTCTTCATATGTAATTTGGTCAACAACTCAGTGAAATGGGTACTATTATACCCATTTTTAAGATACAGAAACTGAAACTCCGAGAGGTGAAAACTGTTCTCCAACTCTTGGAGCTTCCCTATGGGAGGCCCACATTTGACACTTGAGAACCATCTTTAAAGTCTTCTAGGGCATTGTGGAATCCAGTCTGGATAAATGACCAGGTATAAACACCGTAGGCCCTGGGATAAGAGGTGACTCAGGAGAGATGCTATAGCCATTTAGAGCACCAAGGTGGGGCATGGAAGGGACCAAGGTGGCATCTGTGTGCCCTCTGTGTCTTTGCTCAGGCCACAGCCACTGGAGGCCAGAGCATTCTTTATTTCCTCCTTTTAGACACAAATTACACTACGGCCCTTAGGGCTAAGCCAGAGCTTCTCAGCTCAGGCCTAGCAGTGACTTTCTTAATGAAATGCATGTGGAGAATGTTCAACCTCAACAGTGGAAACTCTCCCAGTAAGAGTGAGCCCAGGAGGACAGAGGGGCAAATCAGTCCCATGAAACTCAAGGAGGGGAGAAGTCAGATGACTGCAGGAAACGTGGGCAGATTTTTGTTTTTCTCTTACAGCATCCACCTTTAAAAAGCATTTAGGGGGCAATTCACAGTGCAGGGGCTGCTGCAGTTTCCAGGTGTTGGCCATTCCATGCCTGCCCCTAACCCGAGCATTTTATGGCCAAGACTGCAAAGAACATTAGTTAAAAAAAAAAAAATGAAAAAGAATCCAAAACACACATCCTGAAATATCATTCAAAAGCCCAAGAGTGAGTGGATCATGGAGATGTCACAGCCAACAGCCGACAACCAGGGTTGGCCTGGTATTCCTGGCAGGAAGAACAGATTTCAGATCCGTGGGTCATGGAACTGTGGACGCTGCCTTGTAGCAGGACCCGGGAGTGGCCTGCAGGAAAGCTGCCGCTCGGGCCCTCTGCTGTGAAATGAGGTGTGAAGCATGAACGTGCTTAGATGTGTGCTTGTCCTGGCCGTGGCCATGGCCATGCGAAGCTTAACACTAGAAGATGTGGTTTACTTAAAATTCTCAAGTGCCAAGCACTGGGCTGAAAATGACCATCTCTCCCCTGTTCAAGGAAGCTGATGCTCAGGGATGCTAAGGAAATAGTTGGTGCTGACTCCCCACACTCCCACCTTGACACTCGTCGAGCAATGGTGGAGTGCTATACTCAAAGATACTGCGTGTGTGTGTGTGTGTGTGTGTGTGTGTGTGTGTGTGTGTGTGTGTAACAAAAGCCTAATTTCAGAACTGACCACTGTTCTCTGATATGTCCAATATACATCCTGGGATGCCACTTGTCCCATGAGGCCTCTTGCCTCAGTGAGGTCAACAGATACAGCCACCCCAGAAATACCTATGCATTTCAAGGGAATTAAAAAATGAACTCTCTTGCCCAGCAGGCAAGACAAACATGATCTTACTTCCTGTACCCCAGTGCTTTCCGTCCTTCCAGGCTCCACCCTAAATTTTATGATGTCTGCATGCGAATGATTGCAAAAAAATATTTTCTAGAGGAGAAACAAAACTTAGTAAGCAGATTTCCAGAGTGAGAAGATGTAACCCCTGGCAACAAAACAGAGCAGCTCTCTCAGCATCTGAAACTCATGATGCGGCTCAGTCCATATGGCCTGAGGTCCTTCCTGCTCGGACCAGAAGTGGCCAAGAGGTGGGAGGGCAGAAGGACTCTGTCGCAGCCTCTGCAGACTGAGGGGCCCGGAGCATGGGCACTGCTCCCCACTCTGACAGACAGCCCTAGGAAAGTGACTCAGCCACCAGTCACCTTGATCTATTCCTTGAATTTGAGGATGACGAGAGCAAGATGCACTCTGCCATTGCTAGAGTGGGCTGCTGTTTAGCCCCAACAGCTGCAGAGGTCTGAGCGAGAAAGGGCTTGCAAACAAGGAAACTGAGGACCAGGCTGGAGATAAGACCTTGATTCTAGTGTTCATTCTACAATGCAGGCCTGAGCACAGGTACCCACTTACTGAACAGCCTGGAGGAGGCACCTGGGAGTTCATCCACAGCGGCTGGGGCATCAGGCAGGGTGTCCCAGCTTCCCATGCAAAATGAGTCAGCTGTGTCCCCAACTAGGTGCACAGCTAACCCAGGGGACACACTGGCTGATTCCAGCCACATCTGATTGTTTCTGCCTCCTTCATCAGGGGGACAAAGGTGCCATTGGGATGCCTGGACATGTGGTGAGTTGGTGTTTGGACCTGCTTGGGTGGCCACTGCTTGCTTTTACATGCTGGTTTGTCCTCTAAAACTTGGCAAAGTGCTACCCATCCCAACCCCAAGCAGTGTCAGGGAGGGACAGGAAAAAAGAAGGGGAGGAATTTGATCCCAGTCTTCAGATCTTACCATAAGGCTTTCTAGTAGTTTGTCCTTATGGTCTCACTGTGGTCCAAAAATATTTACAATACAATGAGATATGCTGGATAAAAGACCACATTCACACAGCTTTTAAAAAATACTCTTACAATTGTTCTGATGTTTTAGTATAGTTGTTAATCTCTTACTACGCCTAATTTACGCTTTATCACAGATATGTATATAAAAGAGAAAACAGTAAATATAGGATTGTGTACAGTCTGTGGTTTCCAGCATCCCCAAGGGAGTCTTGGAGTGAGTCCCTGCACATGAATGAAGACTTCCCGTCTGTCATAGCACACGGGAAGTGCAAGGAAACTGGATGAACATAGCTTTTTTGGTGGGGGGGTCTTCTTGAGACAGAGTCTCATTATGCAGTTCAGGCTGGTCTTGAGCTCACTTTGCAACCTGGGCTGGTCTCAAACTTGCAGTGATTCTCCTGCTTCAGCCTCCTGAATGCTGGGATTACAGTTGTGCACCCCCACCCTGGCTGAATAGAGAGCTCTTTTGCCTCCTAGCTGATAATGGGGTGAATTCTTAGCCTCTTCATCAAGAGGTTCTACCCATCACCCTAAAACAGGCAGTTCACCCCCAGCTTTACCGCCCCGCCTGCAGCCATCCCGGGGGAATCAGTGTTCCTGGCATGACTCCTGTAGGAGTTTTGCTCAGAGATGGGGAAGACAGGGCTTGGCTCCAGATGGTGCCTCCAGATCCTCACCTGGAGGCTCAGCATGAAAGCATTTCATGACTCCTGATGAAAAGTGAGAATGGAGAGAGGGAGATGAGGATGCTTGTTCGGGCGAGTGCATCCCAGCAATGGAAGGGCTGGCACAGGCCCTGGTCCTGGCTCCAGGGTTTTTCCTAGCAGCTTCAGAATGATGGTCTCCAGATGACCAGAAGGGTGACAGCCGGGTGGAGTAACAGCCAGGCACCATTTCCCACCAGGCAGCCTGGCTGAGGATGTGGCTAGGGCTGCTTCCACCTGATTCCTAATCCCCTACCAGCATCGGTCTGGACCTCCAGGTCCCTCTAGCCCCACCCCATGTAATTCCTGGCTGGCTTGGCCTTGGCATGGCTGTGGCATCTTGTGTGACTTTGCACGCCTGGGCTGAGCATGGAGACCAGGCATCCAAACTGTAACTAATCCTTCCAAGGGCTGACGGTACACTGGGCATTTTGCTAAGGGCCTCACGCACAGTGGCTCATTGAACTGCACAAGGGGAGCACAATTTACACCCCCATTTTCAGATGAAAAAACAGAGTCTCCATAGTTAAATCTCTTACTCAAGGTCACAGCCAGAAAGGGCTAAGCAGGAACTTTAGCCACACCAGCTAGATTCCAGACGAATACTCTTGACCCTGGCAATGTACCCACAGTATCAGATGTCAAGGGGGTCTGATGCCTAGGTAGAAGCTCCAAAACTAGGACATTCCAGAATTATTCCTTGTCACAAAGCTTTAAGCTCCCCAGGGCCCACCCCAGGCTTGTCCATCAATGCATGGGGGCTGGGAGCCCTCAGCCACCTCACATGAAGCTCTCCACCTCGTCCAGACCGGAGCACTGGGGGACCTCAGCCTGCCCTGTCACTCTGCTTCAGCTTACTTCTCTGAGTCTACCCAAGCGGCACTGGTTCCCTTTCAGAGAAGGGCCCACAGCCAGGAATCAGTGTCTCCTGCCACCCTTTCTCAAGGTTTTACTTTGTATGGGCCTTAGCCAGGCACCTTATCCACTGCTGCCCACTGAAACCCTATTTTGTGGGTAAAGGATGTTGATTCTCAGTTTGCCCAAGATGGAGCTGGAGTTGGGTTTTGTATGCACGCCAATAGTTCTGTAGTCCCTGCTCTGAATGGGATAAACTTCCTTGGGGAGCTTCCCTCCCCAGCCCCCCCCCCCCCCAAGCAACACTGGGCTTCAGAGAAGGATGCAAAATGCAAAATGGCATCTCCTCCTCCTTCCTGCCCTCCTTCTTGGGTCCTGTGGATATCTTTCCCCAGGAAGTGTCCACCCAGCTTTTTGTGACCCCCAGCAGTGGGGGAGAGGTAGAGGACCCACAGGAAGTTTCCCACTTCTCAGGACAAGGCCTTCTTTTCAAGCCACTTTGGGGCTTCCGTGCTGTTGGTGCTATTTTAAATGTGATGATGGCCCATTTGGCTGCCCACTGGGGGTCCTGGCCTGGGTCATCCAATAAGGACTGGGCACCTATGGGTGTGAAATTCCTGGGTAATTTTCATACTTTGCCAGAGGTGGCACCACTGGCCAGTTGAAAGCAGGGTGGAGGGAGCTGTCCATCTTTTGCTGGTCACTGTGGTTATATCCTAACATGCGTTCCTTGGTGACACCCCAGATTCTTCTGCATCCTGACCCATCCCCTGCCCTTGTAGATGCATGTGTGTCCTTCTGTCCACCCATGTCCCTCTGCCCCTCCCTCCTTCTGGCCTGGCCATCCCTAACACCTCCAAGCTTGTCGAGCTTGGCACAGCTTTGTACTTGGCACCCAGCAGGGCCTTCAAAGCTCCTGGAGTCCACTATCCAGCACAGTCCTTGGGGACTTCTCCCAGCCCCAAGGACCGTTCCTCCTGACTCTCCCACTGGGCCATGGCTTCTCAGGCAGGTTTTCTTCTGGCTTTGCTTCAATCTTGTTTTCTTTCTACATCTTTCTCTATACTTGTCTCTGTCTGCCCATCTGTCTTGTCTGCCTGCCGGTCACACACACACACACACACACCCTGCTGCCTCCTGGCCTGTCTCTCACTGATCAACCCAATTGGGGCAGACCAGGGCGAGACAAGTGCTTCCACACACAGCACGGGTTGGACATTGGAGCTGTCATGTGTCAGCCTCTGTGTTTTGCTGTGTTTCTTAATTTACGGTCATTTCCTCTGTTTGGTTGCTGTGCCATTAACATGGACTCCTGTGTTGATGCCTCTCTCTCATCCTCCTCCTCTTCTCTCCCTCCCACCCTCTTCTCCCTGTGCCCTGCGGTGCCTGTGGCTGCCCTAGGGAGTGAAGGGTCCACCCGGCGAGAAGGTGAGTCCCCTCTTCCCCGCCTCTTTCTCCCAGCCCCTCTTTGGCAGGCAGGCTGAGTTACCCTCCCTGCCACCCAGAGCCAGCCTTGCATGTGGCTGTACTGCCCTCAAAGCCTCTGGCCGCCTAGACTAACATTTTCCACACCATGGAGCGGGATGGCGAGATTCCTAGCTGTGGGCCCGCTGTCCTGGCTGAGTGGGTCTGCCCTGCCCTGCCTGGACTACACAGGCCTCGGGCTCCAGTGGCTGGCCTGGGCAGGAGATCCACCCTGAAATTCAGACTTGCTCATTTGGCTGAGCCCTGAGGCCCTGAGGACCAGGGCTTTCCCAAGGTCCACAGCAGTAGTGATGAGCAGGGACTGGAAGCCAGAACTCCTTGCTCAGAACTTCCTTGTCTGCACGCGGCAGACTGTCTGCAAAAGTGTCTCCTGTCTCCAAGATAACCACAATGACATCAGTAATAATGACCACCTATCAAGCATGAATTCTGCCAGGCTCAGTTTTAAGTATTTTTGGCTCGGTGTTGTTACATCAGCTGATACTGACACACCCCCTTCCAGGGCAGCATTAATATTGCCATGACACGCAGAGAAGGCTAAGTAAGTCACATCCCCAGGGTGACACGGCTAGAAAAGGTCAGAGCTAGAGAAGAGCCGATCAGCTGGCTCTGAGGCTGAGGCCCCTGATCACCATGCTATGCTGTCCTCTCTCAGGTCTTGCCCTGGCAGGGTGTGGCACTGCCCTGGAGAAAGACACATGATCCTTCTAAGGGCCAGCCATTGTTCTGAGCACTTTACAACATGATCTTGTGACCAGAATATGAACATAATCACATTCACCAGTTGAGACAGGTACTACTATCCCTGCTAGATAAGGAAACAGGAACGGAGAAGTTAAGTCACTTACAGGAGGACACACAACTGGTAGGGAACAGAGCTGGCAACCCATCTCTTACCTCTATGCTACACTGCCTGGTGTAAAAATTATATTGTCACTGCAATAGCCCAAACACTTCTTAATTTGAAATCATTGGTACTTGTGTGCAAGGAGTAACATACAAAGGCACATCCATCCTTTCACCACTAGGGCGGCGCCAGCATCCCAGAACACAGTGCAGTGTGTGGGCTCAAAGCTCTCTCTCTTTTTTTTTTGTCTTTTTCCTTTTTATCGGTACCAGGGATCGAACTCATGACTGCGTGCTTGCAAAGCAGGCGCTTATGCCACTGAGCTAAATCCCCAGCCCCAAAGCTCTCTTACCATACTCTGTTCCCCTCTGCTGGGAGGGGTGGATGGCAGGGCACAGTTTGGGCGTTCTCTAGGAGCCACAGTGGCCTCCCTTGCCCCCATCCATATCCATACACCTTCCACGTCTGCTGCCATACACCCGCACACACATGTATGCACACGCCTGCACTTGGAGCTTCCAGCCCAGTAGCACCAGCCACCTGTCAGACTGGACGTTGTGGCCAGCCTTGTGACTCCTGCATGGCATGCACAAACCAGCACACTGACCACAGCTCAGGCCGTCAGACACATTTGGCCATTGTACTCTTGTCCTTTCTATCTCCCTGGCCCCAGGCTCAGAGTTGGTCACCTTTCACGAGCTGCAGGGTGTGTGGCTGGAAGGGCATCTGGGGGTGGGGATGGGAAGATGACCCACCACCTTGTGCCTTCTCCTGCCCATCACTAGCGTGGCTCCTGCTCTCTTCCCCAGTCTGTCACCCCGTTTCTGGTTTATCCCACGTCTCATGCTGTCACTGGCTTCTCCTCTCTTTCTGTGCCTGCCCTTCACGACCCTTCCTGGATATCCTAGTCACCCCACTGCCCTCCATTCCTTCAGTCCTCTCTGTCTCTAGCCTCCCTCTAGTCCACATAGTGGGCACCCTGTCCCTGTCCCACCTGTCAGCACCTGCCTGTTGTCTCCTGTCCCCACATTTTCTCCTCTCTCCCCACAGGGTGCCCCTGGAGATGCCGGGATGTCCATCATCGGTCCCCGAGGACCCCCGGTAAGTTGTTGCTCTTTTTGGAAAGATGGGAGATTCATGAAAAAGGCTTTAGGGGATGAAGGGAGAGTGAGTCCTAGCTGTGGCTCTGGTGTGGCACCCATATGAAAAGTGACCCAAGACCACAGCGTAGGAGACGCTTGGCCAGCTTGCAGCCACATCCCTGCAGCAGCTGGGGGAACCCTCTGTTTATAGCTGGGAGTTTGTTCTTGCTCCCCTGGGTAAGTGCTCAGCCCTCTGAGAAACAAGCTTTTTTTCGGAAGCTGGGGAGCAGATGCCGGGAATCCAGTTTTTCAGCTAGCCATCCATGTACTGCTGGGCTTGCTGGAGCTGACTCAAGGCCCCTTTCTTGTTAGCACTGTGTCCTGTATATACATTGGGAAACCCAGGGGCTTCCTCTCTGACTTGCTGCCTTAGAGACCAGAGGGGGATATGGTGGCACAGCCAGCAAGATAATGCAGCTCTGGGGAGGAAGGTAGAGGGTTTTCCTCAGGATGCCCAAGAAGGGGTTTCAGTAAAATCACATTGGAGGAGGAGGAGACCCCAGCCATAGTCATAACATAGCCCTCTCAGAAAAGGAAATTGAGACCCTGATAGGGGTCAGGGTTTGGGATCCTGGAAAGTAGGGACTGTATTCAATCCCGGTTTACAGAAGAGAAGGCCAAGGCACAGAGATTGAATGAATGACTTGCCCAAAGTCACGGCTGCAGCTTAGCCACACTAGGAGGGATCACTCAGCCTAGCTCTTATAGGTCTAAGGTCCTGTAAGTCTCTGCTGTAATATCCCAGCCAGGCTGCAATGCCACTGTCATACGTGCCCCTCTGCTCACATGGCTGCTTCCCTGATGGACTTTGCTTCCCTGTGTACAGGGGGATACCTGATCCCACATGTTATGAAGAAAGAGATGATAGGAAGTGTCTTAGTTACTTTTCTTTCATTGCAGGACAAAAAATGCAACACCCAAAGCTATAAAAGGAAAAATTTATTTAGCTCACAGTTTGTGGAGGTTTCATTCTGTAATCAGCTGGTTCCAAAGCAAGGTGGCAGGTACAGGGCGGCACTTCAAGGCTGCAGAAGACAGCAAAAGCAACCAGAGCAAAATGGGGTGGGGGAGAATAAACCTCTCTTCATCCCTTATATTGTAAGCAGGCTACGTGCCTTGGCTGGATGTCGCTCTTATACCATCTCCATGCCCTCCTCTTGCACAGGATGAGGATGTTTACAGAGTGAGGACCCTGGCCCCCTGCTGAGTCACTTAGTTAAACTTCTAAACACAATGTAGCAAACCTTACAGGAAGGTCACAGAGAACAGAGCCCCCAGGTTCTGACACCAACAGTGGAGCCTAGGGCAGGCCTATTAGGAGGAAAAGAAACAGAACACAAGCCACCCTTCAGCCACCATGGCGGCCTGCTTCCTGGTCTGACTACGAATGTCCTGTTGGCTCACACTGGCCCTCTGGTACCCTTCCCACAAGAACTGTCCATGACCCAAAGGCACTGCAAAGCCTCCCAGTTTGTACGCTATCTTTTTCTTCAAAAGATGGTTGTCCTTATGGGTGCCTCTGTTGGTGATGGAAAGCTTTCATGGCCCCAGGAGAACTGACCAAGCCCAGGGTATTTTGATGTTGGGCTGTTCGAGTGACCTCACCCAGATGGTTCAATCGCCCCAGCCAAGTCCTCACCAGACAGCTCTGGCCACCGCCTCAGCTCCTGTTGCTGCCCTGGGCTGTGAGAGCAGGGGACAGGGAAGACAGAGTCTGCTTGTCATTAGGAGAAGAGGTCAAGTGGGCAAGGCCTTGGGGGACCAGAGATAATGGGGACATGTGGCTTTCCACTCAGCCAGGAAGAGCCCAGAAAAAAAGGGCTGCTAATCAAAACCAGCCTTGCCGCTCTCCAGGACCACCTGCCCGCTCTTGTGGAATTTGATAAATGGTCCAAGCAAAGAAAAGTCAGCCAGACATCTTGAAGGACAGGTCACAGAATACAGCAGAGTTAGGTGTGTTGGCCCATCAAACAAAACGGAAGGCTGGTCCCCAAAATGCTAGCTGGCCCAGCATGCACGGGGGCCCCTATTCAAAAGAGGTTGCTCCCTCCCTTAGCTCCCAGCTATCCCTCAGGCCTAGTGGAGCAATCAAGCTTCCAGCTATCACCCACAAGGAACTACCCCATGCCAGGCAGCCACACCTGCTTGTGCTTTGGCTAGGAATCTAGTGTGCGCTAGGTGTTAAGGAGACAACACAAGCCCTACCCAAGGCCCAGGATCCCATCAGGGGTCACAGTGAGGCTAAGATGGGAATGTCAGGGAGCTGGGAATTTGGGGGAGGGGGAAGGGAGATGCAGGCAGGGATAGCTTCTGGGAGGAAGAGATAGCTAAACCACGCTTAAGGACCTGCAGTGGTGACCCAGCCTAGAGAGAAGTGCAGAGCCCCTGAACCCAGAGGGGCTCCCAGAAACTAGTGAACAGAGAAGCCTTTCCTGTTCAAGGAGGGCCAGGGCAGAGCTGGCAAGAGGTGGGCCTGGAGAGGTGAGCAGGGCTACACTGCAAAGGAGCCGACACAGTGCTCAGGAGCTGGGGCTTCATCCCAGGGTACTGGGGAGCCCTCGGTTGTATGAAAGTTGTTGAGGATCAAGATCTGCAGGTAGCCAGCTGCTCCCTGCTCTGGCTAGAGTGTGTCTAGAGTAACTGCAGGTTAGACGCCTTGGAAGGTACCCAGGACCCCCAAGGCCTGGGAGAGGGGTGGACCAGAGACTACCGGAAGGTGGAATCAGTGAGCTTATGATGATAAAAGCAAGCTTGGAGGAGAAGCAGGAGCTCAGGATGTCCACACGTCTGACTCTCAGGGCATGGTGGTGCCAATTGCTAGCAGAGCAGCTGGCCAGGGGAGAGGGTTTCCTTACTGCAGAATGGAGGCGCAGTGCTTCAGAGGTCTAAGGGGAGCACTGTGTTTGCTGCTGGGGGCTTGCATGCACGGTGTGCTGACTCACAACAGTGAGCTACGTGAGCCTCCTCTCCACTGTGATAAGCGGCCTCAGAGATCATAGCCTGAAGCACAGCAGAGTGCTAAACATTTCCCAGCATTCACAAGTGCGCTGTACATTGTGGGAAAAGAGGCACAGACCTAACTGGGCCTCTTTTTGTGCGTCAAAGAAGAGCAAAAGGAGACTATTGCTGTACCCCACACAAGATGCCGATAGGAGAAATATGGGGCGCTATAACACAGGCTTCTACTCTGAGGAAGTGAGGAGCCCCTGGGCTACCTTCCACCCTGGCCTTGATCAAGGAAAGTGGTTTCAGAGATCAAGGTAAAGCTTATTTCTCTTGTTTTTGTGAGAAGGACATAGTGCTAGTCCATAAATAGTTATTATCTATACCTTTAGTGTGCTCCTAATCCCAGAAAACTTCAAATATTTTTATTCAGAAAAAATAAGCTTTTGAAAATGCCAGGAAAATTGCGAAAATACAGAAAAGGGGTTATGAGGGAGGGTACTAGTTGTTCTACTAGATAGCAAAATATAAACACAGAGCAATCGAAACAAACAAATGGATAGAACAGAAGGGTGAGACCAGAAATAAAGCCAAATGCACGTGGGGACTGGGTATGTAATGACAACTTCATTTCGTAATCGGAAGAGACTGTTCAGATGTTGGGGCAATTGGCAGGACATTTAGCAAAAGGTAAACTGAAAGACAGCTGTTTAAAAAATAAAAAATAGCTGAATCTTTACCCCACTCCTCCTATCAGGACCAATTCCCAACAAGTAAAATGCTTAGTTGTTGATAGGATTATTTCCAAAAGATGAAAAATATTTCCAAAAGATTGATAAGTATAAAACAAAAAGCGGCCTTTATTCTGACAACACGGAGAGAAATGACCAGCACCCCCCACCGCTGGCTTACAGCGGTCTCTCCAGCAGACACATGACCTGGGGGTATGTAGGTAGTCTCGGTTTGGGGTGGAACCTAAGGCAGGCATTAGGGATGCACAGGTAGCCCATTGGTCCTAGGTTTGGCGCCATATGTAAATTTCCAGGGGCGGGAAGATGGCATCACGGGTAAATTCCTAGGGGCTGGGGAGATAGGGGCTTCCTGCTTCTGGTTGAGATTTTCCTGGCTACAGAGTCCTGTCTGGGCCAAAACCCTTTCAGTTGTAAAATTATGAAAAAATAAAATATGAACAGGAAACATGAGCAAATGTTTCATAACGCTGAGTTGGGGAAGGCCCTTCTGAAACATGATATAAAACCTCCCCTAAAGTCTTAGGAAAACGTTAACAAGTTTGTCCACATACATGTAAGGCTGCTGTGTGATGGAAAATATAGACAAAGGCAAGGACAATGGCCAAGTCAGAAAATATTCCCAGCACATGTGACTACCAAAGAGCTATTGTTCTTGAAAAATAACCTTACTCACGTCAATAAGAAAAAAAGATAACCAAGTAGAAAATATTAGTAAGAGCCAGGTGTAGTCTCAGTACTCAGGAGGCAAGATAGGAAGTCTGCTTGGGCCCAAAAGTTCAAGGCTAGCCTGTTTGAAATAATTAGATCCCATCTCAGACTAGATAAATAGGTATACAGACACAGACAGACAGATGATAGACAGATCGCAATACGAGCCTAGCACTGATCAATAAATATAGGAAGACACCTCAGCTCAGCATGTAACTGAGAATATATGAATTAAAATCCAGTTCCAAGTCTCCCCAAGTGCTTTCCCCATGTCCTACCTCTCCAAGGAAGCAGAGTCTCAATTTCCATTTGGTCAATGACAACATTTATCCCGAGATTCTTGAAAAAGCCCTGGTTAGCCCTGGACTTGGCCCTGCGTTGGAGAGATGCATCCCGCTACCAGAGCAGGCTCTGTAATTAGCCAACCCTGTGATTACCCCTACCACGTAAACACTATCCAGAGCGGGCCTTGAAGATGTTTCTTGGAATTCCCTCCTTCTGACCTTTCCGTTAGGCCTCAGCTCGTTCAGAGAGTTTACAGAAAGCTTGCCCTGGGGGTTTTGGAGATTGCATTGCAGGGTTTCCGGGTTTCTCCTTAGAGCTATTCTTAGCAGCACTTATCCTCCTGGGGCCCTTCTGACACTTGAGTGGCATCTCCTCCCTCTTGTCCCTTGGACTCTTGCCACAAGCCATCTCCAGCCGGTAGCAGCCTTCGGCCAGCTCCCTGCCAGACCAGTACTGCCGCTGGATCCCGATCCCACCCAGGCCAAGGGGCCCGCGTGTTCCCTGAGCGGAGGTCTCAGGATGCTTGCGTCCTCAGCTTTGAGGAGCAGCCAGGCAGCCTGGAGATGTCTGAGTCACAGCAGATGGATCCAGATGCAGTCTGGCTCTGGGAGTATTGCTGGCTAAGATAAATCTCCATGGATCCCAAGGCATATTGAGCTCAAACACAACCTCAGTTTATTCTGATGTCTCTCTAGGCAGCTCAGTTCAACAAACAGCCCATGATGATGGCTGCCATTTCAACAGACCTGACAAACCTTGAGCCTATGCAGTTATTAGTCCGTTCTACAGATGAAGAAACTGAGGCTCAGGGAGGTTGGGTAACATGCTCAAAGTCACACTGCTGCTGGTAGAGGCAGGGTTAGAACTCATTCTGCCAAACACAAAAGCCCATCCCTAAGAAAGGACTGTGGTCATCTCAGTGACCCCAAGGGTGATCCCAAGCTGAGAGCTGGCCTTGCGTGTGTAGGAAAGGCAGGTGAGGATGCAGCAGGAGGCTGGAGCCTGGAGCAGGAGGGAGGAGGACGCAGGAAGGACAGCTATCATGGTTCCCTGGGAAGAGATGGGATAACTGCTTCTAACTTTAGCACCTCTCTCTGGTCCTGAATGTTGACCATAAACCCCTGGGCTCTGGCCAGCGAACCTGCTTCTAGTCTGCAGCCTGAAAATCTGTCGGCATTGTATTCTACACTGCCAGGGAAATGGGTACAGATGATCTCTTCCCACAAAGCCTAGGGGACCCAGAAACCAGGCAGATGCAGGGAGGAGACTGCTGGCCTGGAAGAGAGGAGCGTAAGCAACTTGATCTATTCTAGCTTAAAGCACGTGTTCTGAAAGTTAAGTTCTGCTCTCTGCGGGTATCCAAACTACCCTTGGATGAGTGGCCATGAGCAAGCCCAATAAATAAGGAGGACGTGGAGCAGCCCGATCCAGGGTTCAGTGCACTGCAGGCAGAGTCCCCGCTGGCCTGCTGTCTCTTGGTCTGTTTACACACTGAGGCTCAGAACACACACCGCACTAAGGGACCGTTTCCTAGAAACTGGACCCAAGATGTTGGCCCACTCCTCCACCCCACACACACACACAAGCTGAGTGTGTCCCATGGAGGTCACAGAGGAGTGAGGGACCGGCCAAGGGAGAAGGCTGCTCCATCCCTCCTAGCTCATCCTCACTATTCTCCTGTTCTTTTCAGGGTCAGCCCGGCACTAGGGGCTTTCCTGGATTTCCGGTAAGTGGGGAGGATTGAGGTTAGCCGTGTCCTGGTGGGCTCTGGGTCTGCCTGGGTTAGACGGCGTCCACTGAGGACAATCCCGAGACCACCCTTTTCCTTCCCTTTCAAACTGTGATCTTTCTTTCTTTTCGGGGTGGGAGTTATTTTGGAATAACCCAGGACCTTCACACGGATCTATATCCCTAGCCTTTTATATTTTTTATGTTGACATAGGGTCACTAAGTTACTCTGGCCAGGCTCAAACGTGTGATCCTCCTGGCTTAGCCAGGGATTACAGATGGGTGCCCCACTCCTGGCTCCTAATCTGGTCATTAAGAGCCCACTCTGCAATCCTTCCCAGGAGAGTAGTTCAGCTCTGGGCTCCAGGTACAGGAAGGGACCAGGAAAAGGCACCCACAGGTGAGGAGGCAGCAGGATAGGCTGATGCACCCGGCAGGACACTGGAACGTGGATGTGAAATGCCTCAAGGCACAACAGGGCAGCCTTCAGCCAGGCTCCAAGAGAAGGCTCAGGAGGGTGGAGGCAGCCGGCCACTGAGCGTCCTTCTACCCCTGCCCGTGGCGAGAGCAGCTGCGTTCCTTCCCCTGGGCCTCGCTGCTGGACAAGCCCAGCTTTCTAGGGATGTGCTGTCTGCTCTCGTGGGTTGAGAAGGGAGGAGGAGGAGGTCTTTGATACCAAAGACAGTGCCACCCGGTGGGTTCTGCCCTGTGCCAGGCACGTGGAAGTTGGCATTCACTGCTCCTCACTAGGACCCATCAGGGAAGGCTTTGCTATTCTTGACCCCATTGTAGGATGGGAAATGGAGGCTTAGGCTTACCTGTGGTCACACAGCAAGACGGTGGCCAATCAGGGACTCAACTCCTAACTGGACAACATACTGTACTTCTCACCCCAGCCCCAGGCCCATGCAGGAGCCTGTCATGCTGGGGCTTTACATCTGGTCATTCTGCTTGCAGGGTCCCATTGGGCTGGATGGCAAACCGGTAAGTGGATCCCTGGGCTCCGCCCGGCTCCTAACTGTGACTCCCCTGGTCCTCCTGTGAGACCCTGAGTCCTGGGAAGATGCCCTTAATAGAAAGTTCCTGGCTAAAAAGGGGTCACTAGAAGGAGGAGGGAGGAGGGGCTATTGAACAAGTTCCCCCTGATCCAGCAGCTTCCCAGGGCACAAATCACCAGTGGCCAAGCCAGCCACTCAGCATCTGCACAAGAGCCATCCCTAAGTCTAGTGACTCCGGCCGCTGTTGGAAGGGTCTGGGTAGAGGAAGGCTGGGGGTTCCTGGAGGGCACAGGAGGCAGAACTCAACACACCGATCCCACAGAGAGCCCAGCTGCTCGTCACACACTGTCCTCAGCCCCTATCCCCCAAGGTCTCCTGCCCTCCTCTGGGTCAAAGTTCCCTTGGGTGGCAGCTGAAGGGCCACCCTTTGCTCTGTCTTTTCCATGACTGTGAGCTGGTGCCAGGTAAGCCCCAAACACACCAAGGCCATGCAAGACCACTTCCCCTCCTGCTCCTCCCAAGTGCATTTCTAGCCTTCAGCCTTGGCCCCTGACACTGATGTTCCTAAGGAAAAGTGGCCCCACCTTCTAGGAAGGGAAGAGGTACAGGCAGGTTGACCCTCGACACTTTCTAGAACCCCACAGGCAAAGGCATAGGGCAGGAGGTACATTGTGGAGCCGCCATTCAGCCTTTCCCAGGGCAGCCAATGCCCTCTTGGATAGGGGACCTAGCTGTCTGCCCTACAGGGCCCCACTGTGGGCATGTCCACTGCCACGCTGGTGTGGGGATATGGTGAGGCCAAGGTCCAGGGACATTACCTCCCACATCTCCCTCTGAAGGGCAGACAGCAGTCCTAAGGTCCAGGTAGGCAGGGGGCAAATGGCCTTGCCTCTGCCAGCTGCGGGCTAGGATCTCGGGGGACAAGCGAGAGATGGAGAGACTATGTGAGAAAGGACAGACATGGGCAGTGTAGTGATCAGACGAGCAGGTGACAGGCAGGGTGTGGCTTCTGTGTTGCTGACTGTGCACCTGACAGTCGCCTTTTTCTCCGACCAGGGCCATCCCGGACCGAAAGGGGAGATGGTAAGACCCCAACTTTGCTGGTTCCCGAGGTGGCTGGGGGGTGGAGCAAGCAGCTGCCCTTCCTGGTCACTCCCAGCTGTGCATGTGCACAGCGCCTGGTCCTCTCATTGTGCAGTGGGAGAGGCCGGCTGGGGTCCCCCACCGGAACCACAGGGAGGAGGGCCAGCGGCAGCAGGTGGCAGCTGAGTGCTCCCCAGCTCTGCTCTGCCTTGGTGGACGCACCCGCATCAGTGCTCTTGAGGAGCGCGCTGCCTCTGCCAGACGGCTGGCTGTGTGAGCTCACCCTTTCCCTGAGCCAGCTCTGGCCCAAGCTGCCCCACGACGCCTGGCCTTTGGCCCACACTGAGCAGGAGAAGAATCAGGTCTCAGCGTTCCCTCTTCCTGGCCCCTCCACCTGCACAAAGTGGCTGAAAGCAAGGTGCTCCCCACAGGCCACTCATTCTGGAAGGCAGTTAGGGCTCCCATTCAGTGAGGGGATGGTCTCCGCAGGGCCTGATGGCCACTGAAAGCAAACAGGCCACCTGGGCTGGGACACATGCCCGCCTCCCAAGCTCTGTCTCCTGCAACATGGGCTGGCACAAGGCTGGCATTTGTGCCACAGGTGGTGAGAGCAACGTGACCAGCTGCCCTCTGCCTGGCCAGCAGGGATTTGGCCTGTGTCCTGCCTCCTGTGCTGGTGTGAGGACTCCTTGACCAGCACCCTTCCAGGGGACGAGGGAGGCAGGCACTGCTGTGACTGGAAAAGGAGGTCCTGGAAAAACATTGTCCAGACACCAGGGCTTTAGCTCCCAGCAACCAGCCCCTCGGGGCCTCTACCCAGCCTCTGCACCCAGATCCAGCATTCATTCGCAGCCCAAGGACTTCATGTGTGTGGTTCCATGTTACTTAGTGACGGGGATGCACCCTGAGAAATATGACATGGGATGATTTTTCACCGTGTGGACATCACAGTGCGTACTTGTGTTACTAGGTGACCACCACCATACACATGGCCCATCTGTGACCAAATCATCGTTAACACAGCAAGTGGCTGTCACCTCATTCACTTCTCAGTGGGACCTGGAATTCCTCGCCCTAGTAGGACCTCCTCTGACAATTGTGGAAACAGGGCTCAAAGACTTAAGCAACTTGCCAAAGCCACACAGCTGGGAAGTACCCAAAACAGGATCTGAACTCAGTTGTAAATTCCTCTCCTTCTTTTCCTCTGTCCTCTCTTTTCGCTTCCCTCCCTCCCTGCCTTCCTGCTTCCTTCCTTCCTCTAACACATTTTTGTTGTCTATCTAAAGCATTCTGGGCACTGCCGCAGGTGCTGGGGACGTAGGCAGGAACAGGAGACACGACTTTGCCATTCTAGAGTTCACAGGCTAGTCAAACATTTACATAACCTGTTACAGAATTAACAAACTACCCCGCAATGGGTGCCATATAGAGGTAGACCCTGGGACCCTGGGAGACCTCAGTGTAACAGTAACATCAAGGTCAGAGAAGGGTTTCCTAAGAAAGAGACTTTGAACCAGGTTCTGAAGGGTAAAGATTCAGCTGTAAGGAAATAGACAAGGAGATGTGGGAGAACTGCATATGCAAAGGCCCGGAGGTTAGAGAGTCCTTGGAATGTCCACAGAATGGGAGGAAGGGCAGTAAGGCCCAGGCAGTGGTCAGAAGAGCAGACACTGAAACACAGGTCTCCTGGTAGCTTTCTTCTGTCATGGCCCCCTGCCCCTTACCATACTGTGCTCAGGCATTAATGGAGGCTGAGGCAGTGATGAACTTCTATGCTACCTTTGTTACAGAGGCATCAAGACTTTGGTGGCTGGGAGTTTGGGGTTTTATTCCTTCAGCCCCTTTTACAACTTCAGCTGGCACCACCATATGACAGCCATGACACCTCAGAGAAAAAAGAAAGGTCACCCCCAGGCACTGCTCTCTGATCCTCATAGTATGTATATCCCCACTTGAGAAGAGGGGAGGTTGAGGCACAGAGTGGCTAAGCACATTGCCCAAAGCTTCATGGCTCCTAAATACCAGGGCTGACATTTAAACCACATGATGGGATCTCATCCCTCAGCTCCTCTCTGCTGTGCACACTCTTTGTCCTGAAGGCCAGGAATCCCCTTCTCTGGGACCCTGCTCTCTGTCACTGCCCCTGCCCACCTTCCCTGACCCCCATGAGCCTTCCGGGGACAGTGTGGCAGATCCCCTCTCTGCTTCAGCTCTGTCCATCCAGTCCCATGGCCACGCCTGCCTGGCTTGTGCAGGGACCCAGGGCTGTCTGGTGTGATCATCTCTGCCTGTTTGTCATCTGTTCTTTCTCCTGGGTGCCCCAACCTGGACACCGGGCCCATGTGCTTAGCCTGTAGCCTCACCAGTCAGAACAGGGCTACCTCTGCCTGTCACCTCACAAAAACCCAAGAATCTGACATAAATATACAGTTGTACAATGTGGGTGCAGGGTCCCAGACTCTGGGGCGCAAGGCCGTAAGCAGAGCCTGGACTCTGCGTCCATATCACAGGGCCATCACAGGGCAAGAGCATTGTCACATGGCGCCTATACCCAGGAAGCACAAGTGCCTCTGCCCTGTCCAGTGGTGGATGCCAGTAGAGGGCTGGTGACCCAGGGCCATGTCTGTGGCCACCTGCCAAGAGCCAAGTGGTCCCCTGTGGTGTGGGGCTTTGGTATATATCAGGGAATTTCAAGCTTTAATTTACCCTCTCCTGGTTCTTCAGTGTTGGAAACGAATTGAAATAAATCCATGAGAGACGAGATACCCATGGAGACCAACAGTGTTCCATGGGCCATGACTTGGGTGTCTAGGCTCAACCCTCCATGTCTCTGCAGTCCTGAACCCAGGGAGGTTCCTATCACATTCCTCTCCCAGTCCCAACCCAGGGTGGCCTGGTCACCTGGAGTCTGGCTTCTGGTTCTTGCCAAATGGATCCTATGCCACTGAACTTGACACCAAGCAGCTGGCCATCCAGGTGGGTTGGGAATGCTGCACAGATCATCCCAAGGCCCCTTCTCTGGGTCACCTGGCTGTACCTGTGGATGGAGAGGAGGCAACAGCTTGGTGTATAAGGCCACACCATTTTGCATGTGCTGGCACAGAAGGCCGGGGCAGATAGATCCCTGCCTCCAGGACAGTGGGACAATCTGAGAAGCTCCTGGAAGTCCAGCATCTGCCCCCGGCCCTGCCCCCAGGCACTGTCTCTGACCTGCTATCTTCTGTCTTCTCACTGATCTGTGTGTGTTTCCTCCCCCAGGGTCTGATGGGTCCCCGAGGACAGCCGGTTGGTACCTCTTGTTCAGTATTCTCTAGCAGAGAGGTTTGGGGCCATTGTGTGCTGAGCTTCAATCCCTAACTCTCATTTCTGTCTCTTTGTAGGGACCTCAAGGACAAAAAGGAGAAAAGGTGGGTGTAACAGGAGCTTCCTAAAATCTCCAGCCTGGACACAAATTCCCAACAGGCAGAACAGGGTTAGAGGGGTTATTTTGAAGTTTGAGGTTTATTGACAGAAGCAGGAAAGATCCCAAGGTGCCCCAGAACAAAAGACAGACACCATGGAGCTGCCCTGGGTGACATTTTTTCTTAGGGGAGGGGTCTGCCACTCCCTGGAGAGCCTCTAGGACTGTGAGGTGTCCTAGCACCTTCTGGGCCTTCTACTATTCTGTCTGTCAAATTTTGCCCAGGGCTCTCCCAGAGCTCCCATCCAAGGCTGTCAGGTGTTCCTACCCAGAGGGTCCAGCTCTGGCCAGGCCTGGGCTGTGATTCCTGCCCCTGCCTTACTCATGGGGCCACTTCAAGGCAGGCCCCAGACTGCCCTCCAGGAAGGACCTCGTTCTCCCACCTCATCTCCTATCCTGAGTCTGCGGGCTCAGGCCCACCAGAGCAGCAGGGGCAGTGGTCACTGAGATTCAAGGTGTATCTGATAAGTCTCAGAAACCCTCCTGAGAGGCAGATCACCCCAGCAAGTGACTAACACCCCCTCCCCTCTCCTTTCCTCCCCTCCCAGGGCCAGTGTGGCGAGTACCCACACCGGGTAAGTGAACCCCCAGACCAAATGGGCCCTTTGATCCTTCTCAGCCTCTTCTTCCTGGAGTCTCTGCACCTTACAGAGTTGGGGACAGAAGCCTCAGGCCCTGCTTGGCAGCAGGAGAGGTGGCAGGGTGCCTGGCAGGCACAGAAAGTATGGATGGATCCATGTGTGTGAGCTCAGCAGAGCCAGTCACCTACAGTCCCTGTCCCTCTTCCCCCCCCCCCCCCCCCCCCCGTCTGCTGCCCCGGGTGCCTGGAATCTCTCCGAGGTGTGTCTGCAACCCTGGCTGCCTGCACCTCATCCTCTCCAATGACTGTGTGGCTCGTGTGGGTTGAGTGATTCCTTGTCTGTGTTGGGAACATGCGTGCAACTCTGTGTGCTGGCAGCCTACCAGAAGAGGAGGGACTTTTAAATTCCTCATTGCTTCTGATGACCAAGCTTTGGGTAGGGAGATCATTGAGGGACTTTGTGAATTCAAGGGATGAAGTTTCTCCTTGTGACAAGCACAGGAAGTCCTTCTCCCAGCAGTGTGGGAGTTTACCGGGGGCTGAGACGCTTTCTCCCTCAAGCCCTACCTGGCTCCTTTTCTTTGTTCCATTCCAAAATACAGGACCTTGTCAGCCTATTAGGAATCTTCACCTGTGCTCCTACCCAGGGGTCCTGCTTGGGGCCGGGGAGAGCAGAGCTGAGCCCTGCCCCCCTCAAACAAGAGCCCAGAGAGCTAACACGGGAAACATGCCCTGCTCATAGGAACCTGTCCCCAGATGGGCTGCACTCAGGCCTGGGGGGCAGGAGTAGACAGGACGGGCATCTTAGGAGACCATCCCTTCCCTCATGGGCCTCATGGGTGGCTCCCCTGGTCCCACACCCTTGCTGGGGTTGGTTTAGTGGGCAGAGACAGGAACAAACCAGGCTCAGAGTGGGCCTGACTCTGTCGGGTTCTGGGAAGGCCTGGATAACAGAGCCTGGCCTCTGCCCAGTCACTGAACGGGCAGAAGAGCATGTCGGTCTCTGAATTCTGGGCTCCTGGACTAGACAGAGACTGTGATGGGCCTGGCACATGAGAGGCTGAGATAGGTTTGAGATTGAGGCTGGGCTGGCCCTGGGCTGGGGGACACAGGCCGCCAGCCACGCAGACAGAGCTGGCCTGTTGGTGGCATGTGCTCTGGGGACTCGGGGGCCCTAGTGTTCCGGCCAGCCTGATCCTGATACAATAATAGAAGGCCAGCTGTGTTTATTTGAAACGATGGGCTCACAGGATTGTTATGTTATCCGAAAGAAAGACAGCAGCCCCCAGCACAAAAGACAGCCCAACTGCAAATGCTCTATCCTTCTGTCCCCATTCCTGAAGGGACACTAGTTGTGGGCAAGGATAGGCTCTCTGCCTCTCAACCCAGCACAGAAACAGGGAAGGAGGCAGTGATAGAAGGTTCTAGAAGCACCCTGGTCACAGATGCAGTGAAGCCCAGCCTTAGGTCTGCAGCAGTCTGGGAAGGAATCAGGAGAGGGGGAAGTGGATGTGGGGACCCAGCAGATGGGCAGGGCAAGTTTATTAGAAGAGGTAGGAAAGCAGGGAGCTTTGAAGGGCCTGCTGGTTTCACAAGGGTCTTTAGGCCCAGTGGGCGTGACAGGTCTCTGAAAGCCAAGCTGGTCCCTGCCTTTTCCAGCCTGAGACCTCTCCAGGAAAGAAGGGAGAGGACAGGGGTGCTGGGTGGGAAAGATGGAGTCCCCAGGACTGGGGCAGAGGGGCTGGCATCTGTGGGCTCCCACCCTACTCCTGTTACCCAGCCTCTGCCATCTTCGTCGTCCCCCCCCCCCCCCCCGCACATCAGGAGCATCTGAGCAGCCCGCTAGCAGCTCTGCGCTCCAACCAGATAATCACCCTGAAGGTTTGTGGGTTCCGAAGGTCTCGGGCACCTGTCTGCTGAGACACTTCCTGCACTGCTCCTCCTCCCTCCCCGACTCAGGATGGGTGGGGCTGCAAGGGTGGCAGCTGCCCGTGAAGGCACCAAGCTGACCTGGAAGGGCCCAGCTGACCTCCCAATCCCCAGCTGGGCCAATTCTCAGCCCCGGTGGCTCCTGGTTCTTAAAGTTCATCCCAGAGGGATCCAGAGAGTTCAAGTGCTTTTAAAAACAAGTAGTTGGTTCTGTGCCATCTTTGTTCTCCCGTGTGCTCCCTGCCTCTTAAAACCATGGATCAGTCTGGTAGAGGAACTCTGTAAAAAGTTCCAGAAATGAAAATCCCATTGGATAATGAGATTGCAAGTTGCCTCTCCCTAAAAAAGAAAAAAAAAAAAGTGGTTGAACATTCCAAACATCTTTATCCAGCATCTATTTTCCAAGCGTGCCAACCCCACAGTGAGACCTCAGTAGCACTTAGCCTGTGCCCACACTGGCCTTACCCTGGCCTGGCTCAGCCCAGGCAGCTGCTTTGGCCCTGCCCAGACCCCAACCATCCTCAGATTCGCTGACATCAGCCTTTCTCATCCTACCAGAAAAAGAAGCCAGAGGGCTTCACATCAGCCTGGCTTCAACTACCAATTTAGCTGTCCTGCGGCTCCGGAACCAGAGCCTCTGAGTCTGTGATGGTCAGGCCATCAGCCCCTGTCCCCTAAGCAAGGCTGGGCAGCGATGGCAGTGCACGGTCAGGCCCTGTTTGGAGGCCTGTGCAGCCCAGCATGTCTAGGAGGCAGGTCAAGCCAAGGAAGACCCCTCTCCCAGACTGGGGGTTGCCTGCTGGTATCCCAAGCTCCAACCTGGAGGCTGAGGCAGGGTGCAGATGAAAGGTCGCTCCTCTTTCCCAGGGCCAGCCATGCCACCTCAAGCAGGCGTCCCACAGCATCGAGAGAGCCCACTCACGCCTTCCCACCTGCCCCCATGCTCACGCTAATCTCTCTTCTCTCTCCTTCTCCTCCCAACCCTCTGGGCCGCTCTGCCTTCCCGGTGACTTTCAACATCGTTCTGAACACCCGCGACCTTTGGCCTCTGCCCTCTGGCCTTCCAACTCACCTTTCTCTTCAGCTGCTGCCTCTCCTCAATTCAGTGCGGCTGGCGCCACCCCCAGTCATAAAAAGGCGGACTTTCCAGGTAGACATCTTTCCTGTGCCAGACCTGTGTGGCTTCCCCCTGGGGCCCTGCTAGTCTGTGCGCCCTAACAGGCCAGCTCGGGCTGTAGTCAAAGCCAGAACCTTCTCTAATACAGTTCAATTAAATGACACACGCATGAGCCCATTAATACAATGTTAGCCGAACACCCAGCATACAGAGCAGATCCTCCGCCTGTTGCTAGCTGTGTGGTTTTAGGCAAGTTACTTGACCTCTTTTTATCTATAATATAAGGATGATAACAGTGATATATATATCACTAGTACGATATGGTGTAAGTGATGTAATGTTAGCTAGTGTTGTTACTGCTATGTTTTGGAGACAAAGAAATTGAGACTCAGCAAAGTGAACTGATTGGCCCAACATCATACCAACAGCAAGAGAAAGACAGAACTGGCTGCAGGTCTCTGGCCCCCATATCCACCACTCTCACCCTTTCTGCTTAGAAATGCAGACTGCTTTGCAGCTGACCCTGGGCAGCCTCAGTTTGAGGAGCACGGACATTCGCAGAGGGAATGTGGTCCACAACCAAAGGCTGCAATTGTCAAAAGCAACTGCTTCCATCTTCCTGTTGCTAACCACAGGAGGCGGACACAGCAGCTGATCACAAAGGATGAAGCAGGCCTGGCCCCGTGTCCAGGAGGTCACAGGGTTGCCTGCTTTGTGTCTTGTCTTCCTTGCCCTGTGCAGGAGATGTCTCCAAGGCACAGGGACACTGGGAGTAGCAGGACACTTAGCTGCTCTCTGTTAGTCCCTCAACAAGGCCTTAAGCCACGTTTTTTGGGGAGTGGAAATCCAGGAGCCTGGATGTTCAGGCACCTGATGGAACAAGACTGAAAAAAATGGCCCAGTGAATAGCCAGACATAGGGAGTAAGATGTATGATGCTACCCACACCTGCAGCCTGCAGCTCACCTTTCTCTGGCTAAATCCTGGAGAGCCTCTGTGTATAGCCAGTGCTTACCCCAAACAGGATAGCTCAGAGCAGCACCAGGCCCACCCCACTGCCAGCCCCTAAGGCCCAGACTGAACCCCAGTGCAGGAGAGCTGAGGCCTAACTCTTCAAGCAGCCATCCTCCTGGGCACCCACACATACAGCCACCTCATGGCAGTGGCTGTGGCTGTATCAGCTGCTCTTTGTTGTGAGAATTCTGCATGGCTTCCCCTGTAATCCCCACATCCACCACCTCATTTGTGGGGGAAGATGCCCAAAGGTCCCAGGATTGGAGCCAAGCCACGCAGGTTGCTGCCTTCTTTTGCAAGAGCAAAGAGGGGTTCAGCCAGAAATCTGGGTTTCCCTGACCTGGCTTTCAAAGCAAAGAGAAGAGGGGCCCCTCTGCTACCTGCTACAAACTCTGCATGAGGAATAAGGTTTGCATGCAGTTGGCCATCATAGGACATAAAAAGGCTTGTCCATTTCCTATCCATAAACCAAATATTAGTTTCACAGGCTCCTCAAGATGGCCCAAGATTAGTTGAAAGAGGAGAATTTATATAAACCACAATATGCTTAGCAGATGGTGTTGGAGGTCACTGGAAGCCCATCCTACTGGGGCTTATTTGAATGTGAAAAAATAGTCTGGACTTCAGAGCTGAGTCTGGGTCCTGGTCCATGTGAAATGCTCCCAGTACCTGTGGTCAGCGAGCTGGACTCTGAGTTTCCGTTTTCTTCTCTGTGAAATAGGATTTGTGGTGGTGTATTGTGGGTTATCCTTTTCTGAGATGTCAGAACACTAGAGAACACAAAGCAGTATTCTGAGAGTGTCAGAGGACAGGAGGCTCAGCCAGGCCATAGAGTGACACTGTGGGTGTCATCTGCCCAGGAGGCTGAGCCATGAGATGTAAGCAGTGTCACCAAAGTTACAAGTTTCCCTTTCCCAGGTCACACACTCCTGTTTACAGTTGCTCTTGCCTCTGAGGGGCTTGTAGCAGGCCTATCCGCTCCCTTATTCACACGAGGGAGCAGGACACCCAGTGTCACAGGGCTTGCCATCTCACTGAGCAAGTGGACTGGCCTGGGGCTGTAGCTGTCTCTCACACCTGCCAGGCTATAGGGATGTTCCTCTCCTTACAGGAGCTGAGCCCAGATTGTCCCTGGAGAGATCATTTAGAAAACAGTGTGTTGGCCAGGCATGGTAGCACATGCCTGTAATCTCAGCATTCAGGAAGCAGAGGCAGGAGGATCACAGAGAATTCCAGGCCAGCCTGGCCCTGTCCAAAAAAAAAAAAAAAAGGCAGGAAAGAAAGCAAAAGGACAGAGGGGGAGGGACAGAGAGAGAGAGACAGAGAGACAGAGAGAGAGAGAGAGAGAAACAAACAAACAAACAAACAAAGTGAAAGGGAGCAAGCATGGGTCTAGATGCAAGATGGCTGGTTCATCCTCCTGCAAGATCCAGGTCATGTCTCCTGCTGCTGAAGGAACACACCTGCTTCCTGGGTTATTGACACATTCTGGGGACACCCCTGGTGGGTGACAAAGGCTGGGCCCAGCAGCTGGCTGAGGAGGGAGAGTAGGGCCAGGGACGTGCACCAGCACCTGCACAGACGTGAAGTTCTCCAAGGCCCCTCCAGAGCTCCTTCCCCACAGCCAGGGTGACAAACACAGCTATTCTCTGAGCTCAGGCAAATCACAGGGACGACAGAGAGAGGGCAGGGAAGATGAGGACCAAGGCAACCAGAAAACTCACGTCCAACCTAAAGAAGGCAGCCACTCCTCTCCCCCAGGAATGTGGGCCCCATATTGCTGGGCCTCCCCATGGTTCACGGAGCCACCAATCCAAATTTGGTACATGAAGTCCCCTGCCCCATTCCACAGTGAGCTCTGGCCCATGGCTCTCGTTTGATCCTCTAGTTGAGGTAGCCAAAAGTCAAAAAGCTAAGGTGGAAAACAGAGAGAGAGCATCATTCCCATGCTGTGGCTAAGAGACTGAGCCTACAGACATGACGTGACTTGCCATACTGTGAGAGGGTGACAGAGACCCTCCATCCTGGGCTCTGGCCATCTGGCCCGGGCTCAGCCTCTGCTCAGGCCAGGTGTCACTTACCTTTACTCCCTGCTGGCCCTGAGCCCTGGGGAACAGCTACTCCGGGCAGCAAGTCTTCTCTGGCAGCCCTGCCGCTTGGGGACCTAAAGTCTTGGAGCTCTTCTCACTGCCACCAGCCCCTGCATGTAGTCACCGCCACCACAGACTCATCGCCATAACGCCACCATCTCACCCATCGTCACTGCTGCCTTCCCCACACAGCCCACAGCGGGGCCTCACAGGCTGCATGGCATGGGCTGGGGCTCTGCAGCTCTGCAGTCTCCTCTCTAACACTTGTCTCCATGAACCACAGGGTGAGCAGGGTCAGGCTGGCATCCAAGGCCCCCCAGGACCACCGGGGCCACCAGGCCCTCCTGGACCAAGTGGACCTCTGGGGCACCCAGGACTGCCAGGACTCATGGGGACACCAGTAAGTATCCTCCCAACCTTCAAGATTTGCCCCCAAAATTCTCTGTAAACCTTCCAGCCTTGAATTACCAAATAGAAGCCAAGTTCCCACCAAATGGCAGAAACACTGGGTCTGAGGTGCCCAGGCAAGATTAGCCATCCCTGACACGCTGACCTGTTGCCCTGAAAACTCCCCTGGCAAGGCCACAGCCAGCCACTAACAGAGTGACTCCTTACAGGCCTCCATAGACAAGTTTAGAGGGAAAACTACTGTCCCTGGGCCCTGGCTTAGGAAAACCCAAGTCAGAGGCAGTGCATTCTGGAAAAATTCAAAGCAGGTACACCACCACCACCTGCAGACCCAGATGTACCCGTGCCGCCTTCTGGGATGTGTATGGACCACCTTCCAGATGGGACACCTCTTCCCTGGGACCCTGCACCAAGCCCACGGGCTAGTAAGGGATCCAGAAAGCCAACTGCAACCTTTTCAGGCCATAATTCAAGCTCAGTGGCCACAATCACCCATTTTCAAACCCTGACCAAGACTTTGGCCTCAGCCCTTTGGTACAAGAGAGCCCAGAACAGAACAGCAGGATCTGGGCATCTTCAGAGAAGTGAGTGGTCCCCTACAGAGATCACCAGAACACGGACTCTGTGATCCAGGGAACAGAGGTCACAGCAAAGTCACCTTGCCTTTTAATAATGCTTTTCCCTTGGGCTAAAAATATGAGTTTTTTTCCCCCCCTCTGATGATAAAAACATACATTCATTGTGAGAAACTTGGAAACTTAACAAGGAAAAATGCACACATGCCCTATGCCCCACATTCAGAGTCCACCTCGTTAGCGTTCTGGAGAGCCCTTCCCTTTTTCTCCCCTGCAGACCTGCCCATAAACACTCCCCAGATTGACAGGGTTCTGAGTGACCTAACAGTCTGCACAGGAAGTTTCCCCCTTAATGTGTTAAAGCGAACCCTTTGCAGGTCAGGAGGGGTCCCCCCGCCCCCAGTGAGGATTGCAGAGCTGCTAGGCTTGTTTAGACCACATTGAGTGAGTTCCCTGCTGCGACCCATGTCCTGGAACATAATGTCTATGTTCCTCTCTGGGATCCACCCAGAGGTAGAGCCACTGGGTCAGGGGTATCCCTGATTAATAGCCCTCAGTGGCCACAGGCACTTTCTAGATCAGTCAACTTCACTCTGGGCCCCTCGGTTACCCGAGCTGGCCATCTTGAGGCTTAATGTAGGGTCCTTCCATGCTGGGCTCCGGCTTGACCAGAAAGGTCAGTGCCATAGTGTGAGGGCCCATGTTCCTGGGAGCTGGCTCCTAGCTCGGTTGGCCCTCCAACTGGATTTTAAATATTTCCATAATTTCCCCCAGCATCCCAGAAAGGGAAATCACTCTCACTTCTACCAGTCTTTAAAAGGGAAAATGAAAAACGTAAAATGAAGTGAATTTAGAACATTGAACCAAACCAAGCCAAGAAAACCAAAAAGTGTTCAAAATTTATTTCTTTGCTCACCACTGCCCTCCTGCCCAGCACGTCAATCTCCTGCTTACTGAGTCCAAGGCAGTAAGTCTTTGTTAGATTGTTTATAAAGACAAACCCCAGAAAAACGTGTTTTCAAACCAGTTGAAACAGAGCAGACCTAAGCGTTATGTGCTCTGCTTGGGCCTCCTGGTCTCTCTCTTAGGCTCCTGCAGGCCCCTGGGCTCATACCCTGGGCAGCGGGAGACAGCAGACGGGGCCAAGGACAAAATCAAGGCCTTGCTGGGCAAGACTGGCTTTCCAGGGAGAAGTCCGAGCTAAGGGGTGAGCGAGCGAGGCTCTGGACCAAACCACAATGCGATTTAGCACCATGCCACTGGCCTACTTTCCAGTGGGCCAGCACAGAACTATCGCCCTCAGCGCCCACATGGCTCCAAAGAGGGACATGAGCCTACTGTCCCCACATGCCCCCAGGTTTCAGTTATCCTTCTGGGGTCCTCTAAAGCCATGCTCTAGCATTCTCGTTCTCTCCTTAGAGCTATCTGGGGTCACTGGGCCCCAGTTCCAGTTATAAATGCGACTGAACTCAGCCACTTCCCTTGTCTTGCTTCCGCAGGGCTTACCTGGGCCTCCAGGAGCAAAGGTAAGAACTCATCTCCCGGAACCCTGCACTGAGGGGACAGCTGCCTGTGGGAAGCAGGGAAGCTGACTGCTGAGGACTGAGCTAAGCACAGCAAGATGGGTCAGGCTTGGCTCACTTCCGAATCATCGCTTTGGCTCCAACACGTTCAGCCCTTCCTGTGCACTCAGGGTGACCAGCAGCTCTCCAGCCACCATAGAGGAAGCAGTGCTGCCCACCAGAGAGAGAGCTTAAGTTCCATTCAGAAACCGAAGGCGGTTGCCTGTGACATGGTCACACTAGCTCAGTTTAACAGTGCTCTCCAAGGGGCCAGACCCAGAGGAGGCCCCCAGGGTCCTCTGGTCTCTTGTGAAACCTTACCCAGAAGCTCACAGTGTCAAAAACATTCTCACCTTGAAGCTGGGGACCCAGGGCTCAGGGAATAAATAGGTGCAAAGTGTTGATCCTCTGATCCTCCTATATTGTTACTGTGGGTGCCAAGAGACCTGAGAAAGTGGCTTGTCCAGGTTCCCAGAGGGTTGTTGGTGGAACCAAAACTAACAGGTATCCTGGAATCCTTCCAAGCTGACCCTTCCCACAATTCCTCAGTCCTGAGGAATCTCTGTTGGCCTCAAAGGCTTTGAGAATGGAGGGAAGTAGGTGGTGAAGGTGCAGGAGGATTTGGGGTCCTTGGGAGGAAGAAGAGTGTTATTGTGCAGGGAACAGCACCAACCAGTTTGGCACTGACACCCACTTGAATGATCTCTTTGTTCCCCCAGGGAGACCCAGGGATCCAGGGCTTCCATGGCCGGAAGGTAAGAAGGAGGGGATGAGGAAAACCCTGGTTCTCTCGTGGGTGCCCAGTAGGCCTCAGCATAGCACACACAGGGCCAGGACACAGAGGCACACAACTCCTGGGTATAGATTGGAGAGCTCAGTATGTCAACTTGGGGAAGGAGGAGGCACAGAAGGAGCAGGGCGTGTAGGTGTCCCAGCAAGACCTCGAGCCCTCATGCTCTTTCTGGGCAACCTGGGTGACTACGTCTGGCCCGAAGGAGTCAGGTCCTCATTGGCCCGATTTAGGTCTGATAAGTGGGAACAGGATGACCCTGTCCACCTCCCCAGTCCGTGCTGAATTTGGGTGAGGGGCTGGTGGGAGGCTACCCATGCTCTCTGCCAGCTCCCAGGCCAGACAGACAGAAGCGTTTCTACACAAGGGACCCTCATGGAAGCTGACTGTGCTAAATGTCACCACCTGAAGTTGCTCTGTGAGTTCAGGAGTGAAGAAATGGGTTCCGGGTTGGGAAATTTGGGAAGTCTTTCAGGAGAAGACAGCCAAGCGCCCAACTCTGATGAGTGGGTGTCAGTTAGCTCTTGCTGGCTCACAAGCTCCGTTGCTTCTGATCCTGTGGACTGATGAGCCGAGAGCTCCTGCAGTCTCACCCTGATTCCCTGCACTGTCACACATGCATGTGTCTAGCAGTCAGTGTAGGCTTGGGACTGGAGGCCACTGTTCTCCCTGTGCCGCTCGCCCTCCGGTGACTACAGAGGATTCCTCACAGCATGGCCATCCAGGGCAGTGTGCACATTAGGCCAGCGCCAGCACGTAGGCACTTCCCTGGCATCTGTTTGCTTTAGGTTGTCCTAATGGTCTGAGCAAGTCACGTGACCAAATCCCAAGCATCGGCCTGGCACAGGATTGGTCTGTGCTGCTCCATCAGAGGAACAGCAAAGCACTTGTGTCCCTTTTTTACCCGCTGCTGTGGTCCTTCAGCTGATAAATTTAAAGGGCGATGGTATTTTAGACAGGGAAACAATTTGAGCAAAGGCCCAGAAGCAGTCATTGCAATAACTAGAATCACAAAGTAATACTTTTCCGTAATAGTCACTGTTTCCTGGGAATCTGCTGCTGTGCTGATCACCATCCTTCAACATGACCTTCATCCTTTCTAACCACCAAGGCAGGTGTGACTATCTTCCTGTTTAGTAAAGGAGGAAACAGAGGCTTAGTCAAATCTCTGCTTGGAAGAGCAGTACAGGAATTCGAGGTGCCTCTGGGTCCTTCCTGTGGTCCCACCTGCTGGAAGTCCCATCCCAGCCTCCAGCCGGGCTAAGGAGCCTCCAGACCCTTCCAGTGGGAGGAAATCGGCAGGAAGGAGAGGCACAGAGAGGGGAAGGGAGGCTAGGATGGAGAGACCCCCGCCCATACACTCAGATGCGGTCTTTGCAGGCTGCAGTTGGGCGACTGCTGTCGCCAATTTGTTTTATGAGTGCTTGGAGGGTGAAATGGCTTAGACCTGAGAGATCTTTAATTAGTTCTGCATAAACTGAGAAGTTTGTATTGCGTCAGGAAGTAGAAATTATAGCCCCTGTGGTTGCCTCTATCCATTCATGCAGACTCACAAAATTTACTGCCTCCTGGTGCAGTGCAGGGTCGGTTTTCCCATTAGCAGCTGGACCAGCTCTTTCAAGCTATGACAAGGCTGGAGCCAGGAGAGGGGCCTCAGAAGTCATGGCAGTGCTCTTGGCTGGCACTGTACCATGGCGGCTTCTGCATTGCTGCAAAGCAGGAGTCTGGTTCTTCTAAAACGTTGTCCTGAGGATGGAGCAGCTTCTGCTGAAGGCTCCAGCATCATGATGCTAGTGGTTCTGGGCCACAATCTTAGGTGCAGATTGTAGCAAGAATTGTTCTTTCGGGCTGTGTCAGGTGAGCCGAGAAAACAGTGGTGCTGCTGGCAGAGAGGCAGCTCCTGGCCCCAGGAAGCCAAGCCCCAAGCCAAACCTCCCCGAGCTACTTTTGCTCTGGGAGGACAAGGAGGCTGCTGAGGGTGCCACATGCTCTGGAGTGAAAGGCAGGGAGGGCCATGCTTCTTTTTCATGGCTAGGAGGTGAAGCAGGTGCCAGCCAGTAACTCTGCAGGCAGAGCAATCCAGGTCCACTGGGGAGCTTCCCAGGGGGAGGGACTAGCAGTCTGGGCTCTGTGAGGAGAAGCTTCTGTATTAGGTGGGAGGCTGCTTACAATCCCTTCCAGCTCAGAGAAGGGAAGGTGACACCCTTTAGAGGAGCAGACCCTGGCTGTGGGGGGAAACCTGATATCCTCAACCTTTTGGCCAGTCTTTTAACCCTCATGCAGGACTGTCAGAAGGATCCCGTCTTAGGGCCCTTTCTCTTCGTGCCCTATACCTTCTTTTTCTGCCACAGTATCCATAGTGGCCTTTTCTCATGGTCACCTGATGGGCCGTGGCCCTGGCTCCTTTCTGCCTCTCTGGGGCTTTAGAGGGCTCCAGCAGCCTCCACTCCTCCCAACCATCAGCCGCTCAGTACCTTCAAATCTGTGCCAGCCCTCCCTCTGCTGAGACCCTCGTCCTGTGATCAATGTTCCCGTGCTTTCTGGTCTACAGCAGCCAGAGGGCTCTGGGACCTGATGACCAATAGCACAGGGCCATTCCTCAGGACACTCCAAGTGCCTGTTCTACTGCCCCAACCCCACTGGAGTGGACACACTGGCCTCAGTGATCACCAAGCGGAGGCAGATATTTGCATTCCCTTAGCATCCTGGGATAAAGGAACTTTTGTCTTTGATGCACAGAGTCTTGTGTGGCAACACTTGGCTCTCATTATTTGCCTCAATTCAGTCACTCCCTCTCTCATTTAGTCCCTGCCACGCCCAGTGGTCGAAGCTCATCCACCCCGTGACACAGATGAGAAGCCCAAATTATTACTTTGTCATTCCTTTGCCCGTGGCTGCCCAGCTAGGGAATGGCCATGCTAGAATTAGCGATCAGGTCTCATAAACCCAAGCCCAGCAGCAGACTGGCTTAGTCTACCCTTCCTGCGGTTTCTCTAGGCTGAAAAGGCTGATCCCAGCTCCCTTCCTCTGCCCAGCACTCCCCTCCCTGGGCTCCCCTTTCTGCTCTCTAGACGAGGGTGTGGGGAGGAGTCATCGGGGAGAACACTGGAAGGGTTAGTCTGCTCCTACCCCCGTCACCCCTGCCAGCCTTGGGGAGAAGTGACACTAGCAGTTGGGAACAAGGAACTGAGCAGGGTGGCCCCCACCCTGTGATCAGAGTAGGAGAGGACTCATGGAGGGGACAGACGGGCCCTCTGCAAGCTTTACCTGTTCTGTCCCAAAGACTTGCTACACACCAGGAGGCCTTTCCTGCAACACAAGGTAGAGTTTAGCTTCTCGGCCTGTTAAGTTTGCTAATGATTAGTTCTGTCCAATAGTCTGAGCCTGGTGTCATTTTAAAGCCAGCAAGGCCAGCTTCTCCATTGGCTCCTTAAGATCAACCCAGCATGGCCTGCAGCCCTCATACGGCCCCTACACCCGCCCTGGGCCAGCCCTCCTGCTTCTAGACACTGCTAGCATTATGTGCACCCATATGGTACCTATTTGATCCAAATTTATGACATGGATCTACTTTAAATACAAGATGCAAAGTGTATTTACAACCTTGGCTGTCTGTCAAGAAGATTGATGAGTATTGTCAGACAGATGTGGGTCCCAAGCCCCCCAGGAGCTTATCTCTAAGTGCACTGGAGCTGGTACAGTACTTGTCTCACCATGGGGGCACTCCTGTCACCCCTGTGGTCTGGGTGTTATGCCCAGAGTTTGCACAAAGGACCCTGGCTAAGGCTCACATTCCTTCCTCCAGGCCACGAGCCAGGCAATTTTAGACCAGAGGAGGAGCAGCACCCAGACCTCATGCCACAGCCAAGCCCAACTATAATTACTCCTCCCAGAGGCCTTGGCCACACTCCCCAGAGACAAGGACACCCATGAGAAGAGATCCACTGGATGCTTGCTCACTCCTGCCAAAGGGTGTCATGATTCTGCCAGACAGTAAAAGCTCATGCAGTGCATGTGAGTCTGTAGAATGATGACCAGCATTCTTATAACTACCTCTCTGGTCTCTTCCATATGCCAGGCTGGACACCCAGCACTCCACCATTTGACTGCCTCCCTGTGACAGCCTCAGAGATGGGTCTTACCCTCATTCCAGTTCATAAATCAGCACAGTGAGGCTCACAGAAGCTCTCCGCCATCTGAAGCTAGGAAGTCGTGGAGCTGGGTCTCTCTGGTTTACAGCCTTGCTCGGAATGGTTTATTCTAGGAGTGCCCAGGGACCTTATGCCTTAACCTTTCCCGGAAAGGCAGGGAGATGGAAACTAAGCTGTTTTCCTTCTTATGAGAGAAAAAAAAAAAAAGTGGTAGCTGGATTCAGGTCCTGCCTGGAGCCTCGTGGCTCTCAGCAAGTGTAAGTAGCTGGAGGGTTGGTGGCAGAGGACCTGGTGCCCCGTGTAGGTGAAAGGCAGAGGCAGTGCGGTGCTTGGCCCAGCGGCTGACTTGGCTGAATCATCCTGGAGAGTCGGGGTGGCCCCTGACTCCTGATACAGCCAGAGCACAGTGTCTTGGCCTTGATGACATTTGTTCCAGAAAGCTTTCGGCACTCCATGCTTGCAGAGGGCCCTAGTGACCCCAGACCTCTTCCTGTACATCAGAGGGGCCCCTGGGGGTGTAGGGACAGAAATTTCTTTCAAAGTCATGAAATGTCAGTGGGGACATCCAGACTGGTTAAATGAAAGCAGATCAGAAAACGGAGAACACAGATCTGAGGCCACTTGGGGGCTGGAGCCCCCACCCTGTGCTCTCCAGGCCCTGATTCTCCCGTACTCCGGTCCACGGATTAATTAGAGCTGACTTTTTCTTTCTGGAGCTAAATACAAAATCAACCGATCTCAAATTGAGATTAGAGGCCAGCCGCCCTTCCAAAGGCCTGCCCTTCAATAGGGGACCCGACCCCGGTAATTCCCCAGATCACTTCCTGCCGGCCCTAATTACCGGAGTACAGGGAACCTAGGATTTCCATAGTTCCGGTCCTCACTGGCCTGGAGACCCACTGGCACAGGGAAGCAGGAACCACACTGCCTTTTCCCGGAAGGATGGCCTGGGAACTCTTAGAGGGGAGAAAAGCAAGACCCCCCCCCCTTCCCAGCTTCTCCAGCCCAGTATGGGGCCCTCAAGCACTCCCCACTGTCAGATGGCCTTCCTCCTCCCCTGCAGAGAACAAAGGTTCTGTGCGCCCTGCCTTCTGCCCAAAACACCCCTCCCACTGCCTCGTGTCAGGCAGATCCATTCATCTCCTGAGCCTCCACCTGACCTTTGTTGGCTGGCAAGCTGACCTTGAAGCCTCCTCCCACCCCCAACATCCCTCTATACTCTCTTCTTTCCAAGTTCCTTTCCCGCTTGTTCAACAAAAAGTAAATCACCAATTAAGAGACCATTTGCATACGAGACAATGCAGCCCCCTGCATCCTGTCCTCTCCATAAAGGTCAGGTCCTCCCACCTGGAGACTGTGCAAAACAGAGAACCCACTGATGCTGGGCCCTGGGGAGTCTGAGCTGCAGCTCCTAAGCAGGGACCGCGACAGGCCTTTCAGGTCATTCTGGGCAACCACCATGCTTCCCCGACCTCCTTATCTTCAGCGACTACAACCCTTCCTTCCAGTCATCAGCTCTTGGCACCAAAGCTAAAGAACCAGCCTCCCAGAGGTGTGGCAGCTGCCTCTGCCAATGTATGAGAGCAAACGGGCCAAGGCCCTTTGTATGCTCAGGGCACCCACTTCCCCCAGATTGGTTGCAGAGCTTCCCCACTGGGAAGACAGAGGGAGGCAGAGGTAGAGAGAATGGGGACCCATGGACTTGGGTAGACTGGCAGAGCCGGACCCCTAAAGAGAAGCACAGATCTGAGTGAGCAGATCTGAACTGAGTACTTCCCAACCTACATCCTTGAAGCAGGAAACCTTAACAGAGTTGAAACAGGAGGTGCTAGGTAGATGTCACACACATGCCACAAGGGAACAGCTCCATGGACAGCACAGTTGCAGTCCTCAGCAACAGCCCACCCTCTGTTCCCCTGCAGATGTGCCCTTGTACAGCACCCTGGCTCCTGGAGGATAGCTGGCCCTGTCTGTCCCCACCCACAATCCAGGAAGCAATGTTTCCTGGTCTAAGGGAAGCCCAGACCCCCAGCTCTGAGGCCAGGGAGTCCTGAGCAGTGAGACTAATGAGAGCAGGGTGAGCTGTGGGGGTCAGCGGGGCACCTCTGCTTCCTGCCCTGACATGGGGATCAAGGGAGCCTGGGTCACGTGCACAATGAAGGGACTTGACCTCGAGGGGAGGGCAGGGGCAGGGGTCACCGCCCTAATGAGCAGGGCCACCCCCCCAGGAGGCTCAGTTTCTCTGAGATGTGTGTAATGTAGACGCATCCCGCTGTGGGTGGGAGGAGAGGAGAGGAGGTCCCCGCTGCCCCTCCTGGACTTGTCTTTCAGGCAGAGCTCAGAGTCCCTCCCCCAAGAAGCTGCCAACAGACCAAGTATTGCCCTCCTGCTACGGTTCCCTGCCTCCTACAGGCCGCAGAGGCAGAAGGGCTGGCTGAGTGGAGGTGGGGAGAGGCATCTGGTCAAATCTCATTCTGCAAGCCAGGAGCCTGGACCCAGAAAGGGGAAATGGCACAGAGATGCCCAAGGCTGTGGGACAAGGAGGACTCTTGGGGGGAAACTGAGGAAGAGACAGGGGAAGGGGAAGAAGGACCATCGAGAGGCTCCAAACAGTGGGGGACTTCCGAGTTGAACTTCCACCGCACCTCCGAACCGGGGCCTCTCTCTGAGGCCTTCTGGCTGAGTTAGCCTGATGGAGTTGCGGCGAATTTCAGATGAGATCCTGTTGCGCCCTCTTCTGGCCACAGAGCAGCCCTGCACATGCAGGAGCCCCACCTCCTGGTGTTCCCAATGCTGGAGGCTGAGCTGCTACAGACACAGACCTGGGGACCCAGCAGAGAGACAGCAGCCCGCAGCGACTATCTGATGGAAGTGGATGGAACATCAGATCACCTGATGTCAGGGCAGTCACAGGGCAGGAGCACCTTGACCTGGGAAGAGAGCAAAGCTGTGTTCAAAGCTTTGCTATGCGCCACCCTGGCAGTCATCCCTGGCCTCTTAGCAGAGAGACAGGAGCATCTGTTCCACATTAGAAGGACCCTTGGAGCTGAACAGGAGGCTCGGAAGGCCAGCACTACAGGCAGGGAGTGTGCAGTCGGGGCTGGGCCTTTCTCTGCTCTTTCCACAAGGGGAACTTAATGGGTGGGACAGGCCTAGGGCACCGGTTTGAGTGCTGTGGTCATTTACCGAGGCCAGCTCCGCCGTACCTACCTGTGGCTGAGGGGCCACCATTAGGGATAAAGAAGGGGTTTGGCGTTTGGAGCTAAAGATTCTGGGCTTCTGCAGAATTCAAAAGAGAATGAAGCTAAAGTTGACAGGCAGATGTCCATCTCTGTGTGCCGGTGACCAGTGCAAACTGGTCACCAGGGGCATTGAGTAGCCAGCAGTGAGTCCTGGGGGATGACACAGAGGGGTGACATTTGACCAGAGCCCCAAATAATACTTAGGGGCTTGTGTTGAGGAAATGGCAGAAAGGCATGGAAGCATGACAGTGCTTGCTAGCAGGGACTCGCATAATAGTTGATGTGTCCCAGAATGAGAGGTGAAAAGATGAGGAAGAGAGTGGGTGGCAAAACACCATGCCCAGGAACAGTGCCCAGCAGGAGACTGTGGGCAGGGAGGTGCTTCACCCAGCCCGTGTGCTGGAAGCTTGCCTGGATGCCAGCCCAGGACCTATCACCAAGGAAGAGGACAGACATCATTGTAGTCATACCAGGAGGAAAGAGGACCAGGACTTCCTGTAAGATGGCGGAGAAGTGGGGGTAGACAGCAGAACAGGTCCTTGGGAGAATGCCAGCCTGGTCCACTGGTCCAGCACTCAGGCCTCACAGGGCAGCTTCCTGGGAGCAGGCCCGATCAGGCTCTGTGTGGTCAGTTCCCAGCCCCGACCTTCAGGTGGAGAAGCTGCAGCAGGCTGGCTGCTGTCACCTTTGCTGGACAGCACTGTGGGCTTCTCACTGGGGCTTCCTGTGGGTTTCAAGTCCTGGAGACGGGCACTGCCTTCCTTCCTCCCCTGATGTGGCCAGTTGAAGTCTCAACACACCTACCCTTGGCCCGTTGGTCACTGCCTGTCATCTCCATCCCCCTGTAGTGTGTCCACCTTTCTAGACTCACTCCCTCCTCTCAATACAATGTTGTCACCAGGAGATAAAGAGGTCAAAGGTAAAGAGGAGCAGGCCTGAGATGGCAGAGCAAAGCCCATGACATACCAGGGAAGCCACAGCTGGCCTGGGGAGGGTCAGGGAGGAGAGTAGAGAAGTGGACACATGCAGGCCGGGGGCCACAGGAGTTAGGCCCAGGATGAAGAGAAAGGGGAGCCCCTGTCACTGTCAGCACACCTGATGCAGGGAAAAAGGGACACAAAGTACCAGGCAGGGACAGGGAAGGGATGCAGTAGCTCAGGAGCCATGTGGGCTGTACCTGCCCAAGGCCTGGCCCCATAGCACTGAAATCTAGGCCCCACTGGCCACCCATGTAGTAGCATGTCACCTTCTTTGCTAGACTTGGGTTCCATCAGTGACTTCTGTTTCTGAGGACCTTTTCTGCTCTGAATCTATGATTTGGTGTCGTGGAACTGAGGGTTGTGACCCTCATGGCTGTGGCCACAGCAAGGACCCCAGGGCTGACAGGGAGCTGGGCAGCCATGCAGCATCCAGGCAGGCATCCTTGCTGATCTCCTCACAGGCTGCAGGCCGAGTCCGGCCCTGTTCTCACAGTTTACCTCGTTCCTTCCTGCAGGGAGAGCGGGGGATGCCAGGGATGCCAGGCAAGAATGGAGCCAAGGTACCTGCTGCCCCTCCTGCACCCCAGGTCACATCCTCCATGACCACCCCCTCTCTCATGTTATGGGGAACCCCTGGAGTCCCAGCTCCTCCTTGGGCCCCATCTTGCTTGTGCCTTGCCAGAAAGAAAGGGTACACACTTCCACTACCCTGCCCTCTTTTGCCTGGCCTCAATCCCTCCCCAGCACCTTCCTGACTGGGCTCGGCCTCCTCCTGGGAGCTCGGAGTCATAAACTCCTCCTCAGGTAACTCAGCTTCTGGCTGCAGTCCTGAGACCCAGATGGGAAGTAGAGAATCAAAAAAGTCATCTCCACTTTGAATTTGCTGAGTAGCGCTTTGGGAAGCAACTCACTTGAAAGTAGGTGGTCTTGGGCCAGTGTGAAAACAGAGTTCAGTGTCAGCCAACTCCAGGCCATGAGGGCAGAGGTCCAGAGAAACGTGGTGAGGTCACCTGCCATATGCACTCGGGGCTGGCTGCACTTGGGAACACCAGCTCCTTCATTTAGTGTATTTTCTATTCTCCCCTTCCCCATTCAACTGTCCACCTCCACCCAGGGACAGCCTCTCTAGTCCAACTACCACCCAGTGGTAGTACTACCCCAGGGTGCCTCCCAGTGCAACCTGGGAGCCCCCACAGCTGGCCTGCCCCATGTCTCATCCCCAGATGCTCTCCTAGGGTACCAAGCTCAGCACTGCGCTCTCCTCATCCCCAGGAGCCAGAAGTGACAGTTCTCCTCCTGTCCCACCAGGAGGAGACTGGCCACCTTCTCCATGCTGCCCATGACTGCAAAAAGCTTTCATGCCTTTTTCTTTCTCTGCCAGGGAGCGCCAGGGATCGCCGTGGCCGGGATGAAGGTCAGTAGAAGTTGTACTCCACCCATCATGGCAGGTTTGGTGAACTGGTGCCCAGGACAGAGCAGGGGCAGCCCGGGCAGAGTGGCATGGTCACTAGACCAAGAAGAAGACACACAGGGTTAGATAGCATTTTGCATGCCAGACGCACGACCTAGAGACAGATGTTTAATTAAACCTTGCAAACAAGGGGCAAAGACTTAGCAGCCTGGGCTAAAGACTTCCCTAGCCTGGGAACAGGCACCCAGAAGCTAGCTTTCCCCTGCATTCTCTAGAACTCAGCAACCACTTGCTTCCAAAGCTGCAAGAGGGGACAGCAGGGGGGGGGTCTTTCCCCTGAACCCCCACCCCAACACTCATTCACATGGCAAGCAGGAGGGAGGCACCCTAGAAAACCAAATGCTCAGCATTGATCTCTGTCTAGATCTACTTAGGCAGGGGGATCCTGTCCACACCAGAGGCTCCTTCTTTCTCCCTTCTGGGTTGCCCCACGTGGGTTCCACCTGCCACAACCCTCACCTAAATGAAGGAAGACGAGGGCCCTCCAAGGGCAGCAGCCCAGGAGGCCCTTGCCAGCAGGGGAAAGCCAGGCTGGCCAGATGTTTTGCAACACCCGCTGCCCATGAAAGGGCTCCTTTGCTCATTTGTTCCTGCTTTTTCTGTTGCACATTTCTTTCCCTGAATCTTCCTTTTGTCCACGCAGGGTGAGCCAGGGATCCCAGGAGCCAAGGTATGGATGCAGAGGGAATGCTTTGGACTACGTGGTGCGTCCATAGAGGAGAAGGGGTCCGGGGAGAGGGACTGCTGTCCTTTGTTCTTGGTCGCCCAACCCGTCCTGGGCCTGGCTGAACCACTCACCTGTCAGGAGCACATTGTTGGTGCCCTCCTCTTTCCTAAATCCTGGCCTGCAGCCCACCAGCTGCAGCAGGTAGTGACCGTTGGCCCCTTGTCCCGTGTACCTAATAATAAGAGAAGTAATATGCAAAAAATATTTCCGTGGCCAATTAAGTTTGAGGAACACTGGGTTAACAAGCTCCTTGGCGGGAGGCCTCTCAGAGCCTTTAAGATGCTGACCATCCATTGGGAAGCCCTAAGAAGTCAGCATCTCACACAACATCAGCAAAGCTTTGCTGCCCAGTGCACCCTTCATTTAAGAGGTGTGACACTCTGGGATTCGGGTCTACACTGTCCACCCACTTCACCACTACTCTATCCTCTTTATCAGTGAATTTCCCTTATAGCAGGGAAGCCCGGGCCCCCAGGTTTGCTGTGAAAGAGGAGGCAGAGGGTAGGATAGCATGTATTTGAGTGTCCCCTTCCCCACCTCCACGGTGGATGTGTTGGCTGCAGCGTGCTATGGGAGCATGCATGCCAGCAACAAAGGATGCTGACATAGGCTGGCAAAGCTGAATCTGTGCTCAGAGCATGCCACCCCTTTTGGAAGCATTGGCTACCCAGCAAAAGTCCAGCAGGCGGGGGAACCTACATCTCATGTCCTGCTCATGATGAGTCACTGCAGGCCAGGACCTGCAGCCTTTCCCTGTAGACTGGCATGTTTTGAGGGAACACTGAGGCTGGGGTACAGCCCAGGAGCATCCCACACAGAGCCAGGCAGCTGAGATCTACTCAGGACTCTCTCCCCTCCCATCTCTCAGGCCCTGGCCCACACTCCTCAAGCCCTCTTGGCTGCTCTCAGGCCATTTTCCCATCTTGTAGCTATGGGGATGGAGCAAGGGGATTACTGTAGTCAGGGATTGCAAGGAAAACAGTTACATATGGGACACATAATTTATAGTATTATTTTATAATGGTCCCCAAAAAGTCAAATACAAAAGGAAAAGTACAGGAAATCTCTCCACACACTAATACCCAAAGAATCCAGCTGAGGGCCTGCACTGCATGGCAGTGTCCAGCAGGGAGTCCAGCTGAAGACCTAGAGCCCATGACAATGCCTTCCATGAGTCCAACTGGAGGCCTAGAGCCCACAACAATGACTCGTGTAAATCTGTTTCTTGGATCTGCACTGAGGAGGCTCAAAGGTCAGTGGTGGAAGCTAGAAAGTCTGTGCCAGCAGGCTGAGGATCTGCACTGGAGCCAAGAAGCGATGCTAAAATAAGAACCAGGGCCCCACCGAAAAGTACCACAGCCATCCTCAGCGACAGCGAGGTCCCAAAGCTCCTCCATGAGAACAGCCAGTTCATATCAGGAAGCCAGTGTGACAAGCTCCTCCTGGAGACTGAACAGCACACCATCTTCTCTCCAGAGCCAGGAAGTGATGCTCAAAATAAGGACCAGACCAGGGATTTAGCTCAGTGGCACAAGTAACTGCCTGGAAAGAGAAGGTTGTTGAGTTGGATCCCCAGTGCCCCCCCCCCACAAAAAGTAAGGACCAGAGCTCCCCCTCAAAGTGCACAGCTAGTCTTAGTGCTAACAAGATCCCCAGCTCCTCTGATAATGAGAACACCCAAGCTCATATCAGGAAAGAAGCTTGACAGCCTCCTCTGGGAGAACTCAAGGCAACAGAAGAACCAACAACTCCATGGAGAACCAACATTTCTTCTTCCTCTCCGGGTCTCCTATTTATCTTGGCAACAATCCTCAGATGGGCCATCTACACCCAGCACCATGCTGATTCAGTTCAGCTGGTGTTACACGTTGACCACTAGTTATATTCCACCACAAGGGAGATACTTGGAGACTGCCCATGTCATCATTTGGGACATCAGACTGCATGATGGCCCCAGGGCCTCCACTTCAGGTTATTGACTCTGGGAACCATCATTCCCCTTGCCAGGGAGACAGTCTCTTCCCACGCTGATCTGAGACTAAGCCCCCACTGGGGGACACCTGCCAGTGGACACAGATATGGACTGCGTTGTGTTCCACCACTGGATTTGCTAAAGCCCTAAGCGTCAAACTAACTGTCTTACAGGAAATGGTTTTAAGAGGTAATGAAGGTGATGTGAAGTCACAAGGGCAAGCCCCTAATCCAATGGGATGGGGGCCTGATCAAAGGGGGAAGAGAGATCTTTCTTGTGTGAAGACACAGCGAGAAGACAGCCATCTGTAAGCCAGAAGGAAGGCATCGCCAGAACGTGGCTTTGTTGGCACCTGATCTCAGACTTCCAACCTCCAGAATGGTGGGAAGAGAGATCTGTGCCACGCAGGCACCCCAGGCTGTGGTGTTTTGTCACACCTGAACCAGCTCATGCAGGCCCTCTGCAAGGACAAAGAACCTCAGGAGACCTGGGGCTGGAAGGGCTCTGCCACAAACTCCTGGGGCCTGGCTGGCTTCTTCTGTGAAATGAAACTTGGATTCATGTTATCTCAAAAGCACTCTGTGAGTCATGTCTGGGGGAAATCAAAGCAGTCTTCAGCAGAGGACAAACCCGGTGAGGGAACAGCTAAATCAAAGGACCGCAGAAGTGTTTGCTCACCGTTCTAGAGCGCGGAAGTCCAAACCTAGCTGTGGGCAGGGCAGGCCACTTCGGAGGCCTATGCAGGAGCATCTCGTCCTGCCTCTCCTCTCTCCAGGGGTGGCTGGGTGATCTCTGGTGTCCTTGGCTTGCACAAGCACCCATACCTCTCCTCTGCCCTCACATGGCACTCACCCTGTGTGTGTCCAACACCCCCTTTATAAGGAAACCAGCACACTGCAGAGGGCTTCCCTATCTGGTCCAGTAGGACTCGCCTTAACTAACTACCCTGCAGTGACCCACTTTCCAAATAAGGCTCCATTCTGAGGAACATGGAAGTAGGATTTCAGCATTTGAATTTGGGGGAACACGCTTCAATCCATAACAGGAAATAAACTTCCCAAAACATTCCTTCAAATGCAAGATTCCGTGAGATGATCTTCCCCCAGAGATAGGAAGAGGTGAGCAAAAAAGACACTTCTGAGCTGGCCAGGGAGGGCGTGGAAAAGTTTCCAAGGAAGGAAGAACTCCCCCAACTACTGGTTTGTGAATCCTCGTCTCCCCTGGGGACCCCAGAAAGCTCTAACTGCTGCTGGCCTTGGTGGAGATCTGTGGTCAGCGTTACTCCTCAGTCCTGACTGAAGAGACAAGGTCCTATGAGGAGCAGTGATCCAGGCCCGGGGTAGTGCAGTGGCCCAGGGCAGAGGCCAGTCTGGGATGGGGTCTGGGAAGAAGTGGATGGCCTATGGAGAGGCAGATAGACAGGAAGGAGGAAAGCAAGACATCCTGGAGAAACAGCTCCTAACCTCTGCTCTCTGCATCTCCCCACAGGGTGAGAAGGGGGCTGCCGGCTTCCCCGGGGTGCCCGGCCTCCTGGGACAGAAGGTAGGAATGAGCGAATTTGGGATGCCGGCTCCCTAAGTCCTCCGAGTCCTTCCCAGCCCCACACATTCCCTCGGGTCCAGCACTGGCAGTGTCCATCTTCCAGAATGAGGGAAGGGGTGGTGGACCACAGCCAGATTCTGGCCTGGGAGCTATGACCTGTCTGGATTTCTTTATGAATGCTCTGAAAACTTGACCAGAGTCACAATGAAAGATACTTCATTTAAAGGCACTTTTAAAATGAAGTCATCTTTAAAAGACTTAAGGTCAAATAAGTCCAGGGAAATTTACATGAGACAGGCCCCTTGCTCCCCAGCTTCCTGAAGGGCTCACCCAGCTCCGTGACCCTCTGCAGTTCTTCTCAACATTGCTTAGCTGCCACATGCTTTCTTCAGACCTCAAATGTCCCAAGCCTCTGGGGCGAATCCCACGGAGCGCGCTTTGGGAAACACTTGAGCTCAGTGCTGATGCACCCTCTCGGAGTCAGCTCCTCTCAATCCCACAGCCCTCGGGCTGGGTGGGATATGAAGACCTCTGCTGGGAGCCCCCAGGCCTTCTGTGTCCCGTGTCCCGGGGCCCCCAGCCTCTCTGCTGCTGTGAACTAGGGGAGGCAGCAGGCGAGGTGTCAACCACTCCGTGACTGACTCTGCCTTCCCACCTCAGGGGGAGAAGGGTGACGCTGGCAACTCCATTGGAGGAGGCAGGGGGGAGCCAGGCCCCCCAGGGCTGCCTGGGCCCCCTGGGCCAAAGGTGAGTCTTCCCCTAAACCAGTGTCAAAGGGGATGTCTTCAGCCCATTTTCAGCATCTCTGTGTCCTGGACACCTTGTCTTCTCTGTCCTTCTTACACCCCAGGTGTGTAATTTTTCCTAGTGGATTCAGGAAAGGTCATGGGACCAAGTTCCTGCTTCTAAGCAGGTTACCAACCCTCCATGAGCCATGCATTCCCTGGGGTTCAGATGGCAAACACAGAAGTCAGGGACTACTGGCCACAGGGGCCTTGGCATAACCAGGAAGCCCCCCACCATGGCTCAGGATAAGTTGCAGAGTGATGATCATCTTAGCCCACCTAGTGCTGGCATAAAGCAGTAGGCACAGCTGCTAATGGCGCTTTTCTCTCACTGCTTGGAAACTGCAGTGGTGCAGTTTGGTTTTCCCAAGCCTTGTGCCTCCTGTGTGGCTGGTTTGTTTCAGCAGCACAGGGAGATGGAGGAGGATATGAATTACTCTGTGTGATCTGAGGCAGTGTCCTCATTCACCCCACCAGCATGTGTCCAGAGCCCTGTATGGCCAGTGGGCTGCAGAGAACCTGCCCTCGCTTCCTTTACAGTCTATCAGGAGAAGCAAACCCACAACTCACAGTATGGAGGATAAGGGGCCACAGGGGCCCCCAGAGGCAGGCAGGCAGAGTGAAGGGGCAGGAAGGACAGCTGGGCAAGTCTACCTGCCACCTGTCTGTGCCAGGAGCAGATCTCCCAGCCTGAGCAGCATGTTCGCCAAACACAGCCCTGCCTCCTGGCCCTGGCACTGTCCCACTGAGCCAGGGTGTAGGACCTGTCATGGCTTGGATCTCAGCTGGGAGTTGGGGAGCTTACAACCATTGTCCTGGGACAAAGGGAAAGGGAGACTAGTATGCTGTGTCCCCAAACTCCAGTCCACTTTCCAGATCCAGACATAATGTCTAGTAACCGAAATACTTGGACAAAGCCTCCTCCCTCCCACCTCTCTAACTTTCTGTCCTGGAGTTCCTGGAGCACCCCGCCGCCCCCGCCCCCCCCCCGCCCTGATACTCAGAGTCCCATGTACCCCTCTGTCATCCAGTCAGGACCCAATGAGTTGTGCCTTCCCAAGTGTTCCAGGTCCAGTCAGGGGCTGCCTCTGGTCTCATGTGTACTAACCAAGAACCGAGGGGGCCTTGCCAGGGCGTCTAGACCCCAGTGAGCTGCACAGAATTCACAGGAGGAAGGGAGTGGGCGGGAAGGCCTCCAAAGGAGGTGTGACCAGGCTGGGCCCATCAGGGGCTTCAAGGCAGCTGAGTGAGAGTGGAAGGCAGCTGGAAGCCAGTGGAGAAAGAGAGGCCAAAGACTGAACCCAGAACAGGAGCAGCAAGCCCATCTTTAACCCCGATGCCATCTGTCTTCCTCCCCAGGGAGAACCAGGTGTTGGTGGCCAGGTTGGCCCCCCAGGACGGCAAGGAGACAAGGTAAGGAGCTCCCTCTCGCCCACCATATGCACGAGCTGCAGGATGAGGAACCCCTGAGAGAAACAGGCTGTCCCTAAACCCTAGGGCTGGGCTCCAGGACACCAAGCCGACGGACCGTGACCCTGGCTTCCTTCCCCTGGTTGGCTTGAGGCCCGGCACCATCCAGGAGAATGACAGTTGTGCAAAAGGCAGTCTGGGGTTGAGACACTTAGGTTGGCGAGTAACACCAAGCCCAAGCTTCGGGCAGTTCCCCGAGTCACAGGTCTAGTCAGGGCTGCCCCCACTCTCCAGCTTCTCCCTGTGAAAGGCTTGTGTCCCCCGGAGTAGTCATGGGTAGGTAAGTGGCAGTGGCTCCATACCCCACCAACTGGCTGCCTATAGAGCGAGTCCTCGGACCTGAGATATACTGAAGACTCCTGTTCCTGTATCTTCACTTTCTAGCTTGATTTTTTTCCCTTAGTATTAACATTATCTCAGGAAAATTAGGCCTGTGTTTTTTTTTCACAGCTGACATCTATTCCCCACCACTGTGCCCTGCTCCTTCCAACATGAACAACCTCCCAGCCCCCTCTGGGAGATCGGTGTCCCTACAACCTATGTCCTGCTAACTTACTTGACCCCTGCAATTCATCCTGCAGTTCAGCTCTTTCACAAGCAAAGCGACCCCTAAAAGACCAGATGGGCTCTCAGGGCGCCATCATTTTGCGCCCAGGCAATGGACAAAAAAAGTGGCTGAGCCTTTGTTACTTGTGTAGAATGGAAATCCAGAGAAACAAAGGCAGGGCTTCTGCTCCCGAGGGAGTAGCTGACTGAGGGGCCTGGGGAGCAGTGATCAGAGGGACAAAGGGGAGTTACTAATAACTAATATGGACGGGAAGAATATCATCAAGTGCCAAGAGGGAGGAACTCAGAGGAAGAGAAGGGTAAGGACAGGGTTCAGGGATGGCTCCCGAAAGGGTAGGACTTGCACTTTAATGCTGAGAGGCACCTGTGTCCTGGTGGTCTGTGCTAAACCGAGCCTCCTGGATGCCTCTCCTGTATGCCACTTAGGCTATCAGATTCCCTTGCACTCAGCTTTCTGAACATTTTCATTTTGTCATGCAACAGGGGCAGCCAGGAGCAGCTGGAGAACAAGGGCCAGCTGGCCCCAAGGTAAATGCATCTCTCTGTCACAGTGCAAAGCAGCTGGACCCTAAAGTATTGAGGGCAGGGAGGAGAAGAGTATGCTGGCCCCAGGCGGGAGGTCTGCATGACCACCATGATAGGACTTGGGCTTCTCGAGGCCTGCCTGTCCTGACTGTTGAAACAGAGGCTGCTCATCTGCTCTGTGATCCCCGCGTACCCTCTGAGTGTCTGGACTGCCTGACAAGCCCACTGTGGCCACCCCAGATCGCCCTGTGTGCAGGCTCAAACAGCCCTTGAGGGTCGCAGACCCTCTGATTCCTCCGGGTCAGCCCCTGGTTGAGAGCTCATCTATCTGCCTTTCAGGGCTCCAAGGGAGAACCTGGGAAAGGAGAAATAGTGGATTACAACGGCAACATCAACGAGGCTCTCCAGGTGAGTGGGCTGCAGCCCAGAGGCTGAGATCTGAAGGTTCTAGAGGACCTTGGCCCTGACCCTCAACAGGCCACTGAGTAGAACTTCCAGGAGGAAGTGGCCCCCTACCTTCCCTCTTTTGGCCTCCTGCTGTGCAGCATCCGGGCAAATACCCCCTCCCCTTATTGGGCATCGAGTGGCCTGCATGTGCAGGCTCAGCTGACTTAGGGTAATTTGGGGCCCTAAGGGAAGCATCCTGGCACCCTGTAAAGAGCCACCACCCAGAGCTGTGTTCCAACACCGGAGACACCTGCCTGTCTGTCCCTGGTGGAATCTGTCCTCCTGGAGTCCATCTCTCTTGCGTGTCAATTTTATCCTATTTCAAATTCATGTGCACCCCACAAATATATGTGCACCCCACAAAGCAAATTATCCCAGCTTTAGCCCTGTTGACACTCAGAGTTTGTGATTATGGTGGTGGGAGGGAGAAACTGCCTTGGGTATTGTAGGACATTTAGCAACAGCTCTCCCAACTATCTAGCAGGGACACTCCACCTGCAGTTGTGGCCACCAAAAGTCAAGCATGACCAAACATCCCCTAGGAGATGAGGTCACCCCAGACTGAGAGCTCTTTGTGTGTGTGGGTTCATTTACAAGGTGCCAACAATCATTCTGCTAACCTACTTTGTGAGTGGTTCTGTAATTTGCTATACTGTGTCTGTTTAGAGGTAGGCATGGGAAATCTGGGTTCTAGGAAAAAAGAACAGGGTACGGGGCAGTAGGGGATTGGTGGGAGAAGAATTTGCCTCCTTCTCTCCTTTGGTAAGAAGAATAGAGCATGTGTGCACCTCGCAGAACTGCCAGAAGCAGCACTGGGCTCATAAGATGTTGGGAGTTCCCTGCCCCTTGGTTACAAACCTCTGAGAAGGTGGATGGCACAGGGCTGGGAGCCATGGAGCCCACGCAAAAGAGTCTGCCTCCACCTGTGCTCCTCAGGGGGCTGTGACTGGGCAGAAGGGGCCTTCCAAATGGCTCTGGACCTGCCGTTCAGCTAATTGCATGGTGTTGTTTTTAGGAGATCCGGACCCTGGCCTTGATGGTAAGTCTTCCTCCTCCCTGGCTTTCCTGGGACACTGGGCTGAGTACAGGAGTTCTCGTCTCCAGAAAACATCTGGGCAGTGCTGGGCCAAGGGTCAGCTGGCCGAGGACAGGGCAGAAGCTGGGCCTGTGGAGCACCCGGGCCGTAGCTGTTCATCCACGCAGCTGTCGCCTAGTGACAGCTCTGCTCTGCTCACAGTGGTGTGAAGGAAACAGCAGCATCCAGGAGGATGTTCTGATGCTTCTGTTTTCTATAAAACCAATAACAACTTTCCACACATTCCCCTTTCCTAGAAATCAGTCTCATTATGTGTGTGAGGAAAACCAATGAATTCCATGCTGGGATCTGCACACATGGCCAGCAAATACTGGTTCTTAGGAAATATTCACAGTTAAAGCAACCACTCCTAGTTTAACTTCCAAGATGGAGAGGGGAGGTGAGCTCATAAAGTCCTCAGACTATAGGAATTTCATGTTGCCTGGTATTTTTTTTTTGTGTGGCTATGTGCACAGACACAAAAAATCAAAGGCCACTTATAGCCCATCCCAAATCTTGATTGGTATTAACTAGATAGTTTTGAAAGCAATGAGCCACAGTTGGGGGACATTAAAATATCTCATTTGAAATAACTATTGGAAATAAAATTTTCCTGGAAACTTTTTTTGTCTTTTAAAACCAATCTTGGGTACAGCTCCCAGTAAAATGTGCCTTCTCTAAGTATAGAATTTGATGAGTTTCACAAACATACATGCCATGTATCTGCAGAAAGTTCTTTCAAAAACCCCAGGGAGTGGATCCCATACTACACTGGCCGCAGGCCACCACAGACCTGCTTTCTGTCTCTGCAGATTTCATGTGTCTTTTCTGGACCTTTATGAAACAGAGTCACGCTTTTGGACGGATGTTAAGGGAGGCTGTTGGTCATGGCTGTAGCCTGCCCTCTTCAACCCAAACGTACTCAGTGCCTCTCTAGGATCCCCTTGTTATTTTATTTGAAAAAAGTTAAGTGTTCCTACTACTGAAGAAATAATTGAAAACAACTGTCAGCCAGCCTCCCTCCCAGCCACACACAGCCCTCTGGCGACAGCCACTCTCCTGGTTGAAAAATTTTTCCATGTGTCTCTCTTTTCTTTCCTAGGGGCCTCCTGGTCTTCCCGGGCAAATTGGCCCACCTGGAGCACCAGGGAGTCCAGGCCAGAAGGTAACACTTGCCTTGACTGGGGCGGAAAGATGTCAGGATACAGCATCCCCGAGCGTATGATGGCTGGCCCCCTAGGGCCACCCATCTTCCCAAGCCCTGCCCTGCTACAGAGCACGTGGCATGGCCCCTCACCCCACGCCACCAGGGCTGCACCCCATGCCACCAGGCTGCACTCTTCCTCCCTTGCCATCCATCTGGGGTCTTTTAATTCACCTTCTGGGGTGCTGGAACCTGGAGATGAACCCCCAGACCCACTGGAACACCAAGCCATCCTATGCAGGGTGGCATTTAAGTCCCCAACCATAGCTTTCCCTTCTGCCACCTACGCTGGTGATTGTTCACAGAAAGGCTCTGTCCCCACATTTGTCCCTCTGCTTGGGAGGTCCCCTGCCCTTCAAGTCCCTCCCCCCTCCCCCGCCTTCCAGACTTCTCCTCTTTCAAGCCCAACTCAAGGCCTCCCCTGAGACACCAAGCAGAACCACTGTCCTTCCTCTCTGCTCCCTGAAAATGACTGACATGCTTTGCCAGGCCTCCTGCCTCCGCCTCGCTGACCTAAGGAAGGGGCTTGGGCAGTGGAAAGAGGAAGGAGGGGCCCAGTGGGCAACTGAGACAGGAGGAGCAGGGGAAGAGGAAAAAACTCTGGGGTGCTCAGGGCTCATGGAGAGTACGCTCACGGTGGGGGTTGAAATATGGACCACAGAGCCAGGATGCCACTCTCGGATTCTGGTTTCCGGTTGCTAGTGGAGGGCCTGCACAGCAGTGCTTTGGGCTCTGGTCTATAAAGCAGAGACAGTGAAGGCACCTACCCCTCAGGACCACAGGGAGGAGTAAAATACTCACACTCTGTGGAGAGAAGGCTGTTCATACCCAGGAAGTGCCGCGTAGGTGACAGCTATCACTGCCCCTACTCTGAGAGTCACCCTTAGTTGTTCTGGCTACAGGGGGAGATTGGACTACCAGGCCCTCCAGGACTCGATGGGGAAAAGGTAAGAAGAGCCATCTCCAGACAAGGCTCGCTGTGGGAACTGAAGGGCCCAGCAGTCTCTGGAACAGGCTGGCTACGAGACCTGTGGGGACCGGGAAAAGTGGGCCAGCCAGAAATGGGCCTTGTTTGCCCCCTGCAACCAAAGCACCTGAGAGCCCAGGGGTACTCAGAGCTCACAGGGCCTAAGGTCTAGATGTCCCTGTCATGTCTGGTCTTTCCCTCTCTCTCCTCTTTTCTCCATGAATATGCCTAAGAAGTGCTATTGATATTTTGTAAAGGGACCTCGTGGCAAACCAGGAGACATAGGCCCCCCAGGTCCCCAAGGACCCCCAGGAAAGAATGGGCCTCCAGGAATGAAGGGAGAGATCGGATACCCAGGGAACCCCGGAGAAAAAGGGGAGACGGGACAAGCAGGATCACCGGTGAGTGGCAGGGCTGCTGGTGCATGTCCACATGCCACCTTCATGCCCAACATTGGCTCCGCATGATACCAGTTGCTGCCTGGGGTGGAAACCGAGGGCCAGGACTTAGGAAAGTGGAGGATGTTCACATGGTTCCCCTCAAGCCACTCACTTTATGAAGGACAGTTTCCTGACTCGGGAGAACAGAGTCCTGCTCCGTCCTCATTTGCTGTACCCTTGGGGAGGTCACTGAGTCTTACAGAGCCTCAGCTTCCTCATTATCAAGATAAGCATACCTCACTGGGAAAGAGATGGCCAGAGTGTGGAAACCCTGTCCCAGGAGAGGTCTCACGTATGTAAAAGGGGCCTTAGCTGAGTCCAGCCAGGCTGCTATCTTGACCTGGGAGCCTTTCATGGTTTCCATCTATGAAACAGGCACCATGCATGTTTCAAGGAAGGCAGCCGTGCATGCGGACCGTAGTGTCACATACTCAGCACGTGACCTTGAGCTTCTCTAACAGAGGTCTTTGTTGATCTGTAGGGTCTAGACGGCCCAACTGGGGAGAAAGGAGAACCAGGTGACCAAGGGAGGCCTGGAGCAACAGGATTGCCTGGCCCCATCGGGCTCCCAGGATTTACAGTAAGGCGAGAGGGCCGGGCAGCAGGGGTGTTGGCAGGCAGCTGCAGATGAAGGTGCAGGGGCACAGTGCTTCGCACAAGGCTACCAGCCTAGTGTGCCATGACAAGGCTGCACTAACCCCAGCCTGCCATCCAGCTGGGGGCCTCTGGATAGGCAGCTGCTCCATTTGAATGCAAACAGTGTTCCAGCTTCCTTGACTGCATGACCTGTCTGCAGTGCCTACCTAGTCCCAGAATGCTGTGCTCTTAGACTCAGAGTTCCCTGTCTTGGAAGTGGGAAAAGCCTTATGATCATCCAGTCCCTCATCCAGCCCAGTATCAGGATAGGCAAGTGACTCCCATTCCACGGTGGGCAGCTCTGAGATGGAGGGGATACTCACGGGTGTGATGTGGATGATTCCCCATCAGCCTCCCCCATGATCCCCGAAACTGGGCTCTGGAGCCATATTCATTTCCTACTGCTGCACAAAAGGTCTCCACAAATTTAGCGGCTTCAAACAGCACATGTATTAGAGATCAGGGGTCCTGACACGTCCTGCTTGGGCACCCTGCCCCAGCTCTCATAAGGCTGCAGGCAAGGTGCTGGCCAGCTGCGTCCTTAGCTGGAGCTGGGAGTTCTCTCAGCTCCCTGGCTGTCGGCAGAATTCAGTTCCTTGCCATTGTAGGAGAGTCCGTCAGCTCCTAGAAGTCACCTACAGTGCCCAGCCACTGGGCCTCCCCATGTACACAGTTCAGCATTTTTCTTCAAGGCCAAGGGCAGAAGGATGGTCTATCTAGTACACAGTACTAGCAAGATGGAGCCATGTATAACATATTTGCAGCATAATCTTAGCACACGTTATGTGTTTTTGCTCGCATAAGGAGGATGTGATGATTTGTTACATTCTCTCAGGAGTCACAGCCATCAGCTTTGCTGCATGCCCTGTTCCATGGTTTAGAAACAAGTCACAGCTCCACCCCAGGCTCTGTCACCACAGGGACCATACAGAGAACCAGCCCCTCCCAAGGCCAGACCTCGGGTCCTTGGAGTCAGGGCCACAGCACCTGTCTGCCAGAACACCGGCCTACAACCTCCGTGCTGAGGGGAGAGGCCAGTCCAGCTTGACACAGATGTGTGGGGTGGGGCTGTGCCGGGCCCCCAGGACTCACACCCTGCTATTTTGCCTGCAGGGAGAAAAAGGAGAAGCTGGGGAGAAGGGTGAACCAGGAGCAGAGGTAGGTCCTGCCTGCTCTTCTTTTGTGCCTTAGATGGACATTTGACTAGGGCCTCATCAGCAGGGACAGTTTCTCTGGGATGCCCGGCATCTCTGTGCTGCAGCTGTCTGATCCCTGGGAATGGCCAGAAGCTGAAATTCTGTGGAGCTTGCTGAGCACTGCGTGGCTGGCGCTGAGCCTCAAGGCTGCCGCCTAGGATTTCCCACGGGCAAGAGCCTGCAGGATTACAGAGCATGCGCAGTGTTTCTGTCCCGCTGCTAGTGTCTAGACGTAGTAAAATGAACAGAACCATCGCCAGAGGCCTACAGTCCTCAGTGATGAGCCCCTGTGGGGACAGGCAGGCATCCCAGGAGATGTGCCATTTGGGCAGGGCTTTGTAGGAGTTTGCCATTAAGCATCAAAGGAAAGCTTTCTGGGGAGAAGCACAATTCTTTGAGTGCTTCTGGCAGTGCAGGGAAGAGGAGAGAACAGCAGGCTGAGTGTTAGGTGTCAGACAGAGGTGAGGCTTTTAGAAGATGGAGAGATGCAGGTATATTCATAGGCTCAGGGAAGAAGGCCAGGGGTGCCACAGAGAGCACAAGTGGGAGGAAGGATTGACCATCCAGAACACCTCAGCACTAAGGGAGAGGCCACCTAACCTCCGCCATCCCCTGCTCCCTGGCCCCCGTCATCCTTTTGTGTCACCAGCCCCATCTACCCATCCGATGCAGTGACACAGACCTGGTCCTGACCTATGTAAGTTACCTGTTAGGGCCCCCTACGAGATAGCGCCAGATGCGGGAGAGGCATTGGATATGAAGATGTTCCTCCCGGAAGATCCAATGGAAAAACCAGGAACGGCTCATATTCCCAATGAGAAGGAAAGGATTAAACAACTCTTGCTAACAATGCGGCTTGTGATAATAGCGATTTAACAGTCTCCCTTATGCCAAGCGCTGCTGTAATCCTTGGCCAGGAGGTGACTCATTGTCCGTCTCCTCAGTGACCAGCGCGTCACCAGGGAAGGAGGCTTGCAGGAAACATCATACCAAAACTCAGAAAATGTTAAATGAAGAAGAACAAAACCCAAATTATATTTACATATCTTCATATATACATATATATTCAACATATTTTATGCATAAAAATGTGGAAAGAAAAAGAAAAATATTAACAGGCCTTTTCAGTTAGGTAAATCAGAGATTTATTTTTCTTTACTTCAGTTCTCTTTTCATAAAATATTTTAATGAGTGTAGCTTTTTTATTTTTATTTTTAGTTCTAAAACTATTAAATTGGAATACTTGACTTCTGGGAGAGGTGTATACAATTCTGTGAACTTTCATATATCTATAGACTTGTGTAACCACTACGGTAATTCATTTCTTATTTATGATAAGAAAAAAAGTAGGCTTTTCTTTTAAGGAAGGGGAGAGGTGCTACAGATTATTTTTCCTGCAAGGACACTGTAAGGGGGCTGAGAAGCCCGGAGGCCCAAGGGATGCAGGGGCCTGACTGCCGCCCTTGCGGGATGGCCTGACAGACAGGTCCTCGGCCAGCCCACACTCCAGGCAGCTCTATCCTGAGGAATCAGAGGCACCTGAGAACCCTGAAATGTGGTGAGGGTCCCCGCTGAGAAAGGAACAGGCAGTGGCAGACCATGGACAAGTGGATGTCACCTTCATCGGTGGCAGATCGTGTAGAGGAATGGTTCCTCCCCTTCCACTGTCCAGTCTGAATCTCTTCTGTTGCAAGCAGCCCTCAAGGGAAATGGTCCCCACCCTGTGACACACCAGGGGGACTTGAGGAATGTCCTTCCCCCGCTCCAAGTCACCAGGTCTGCTCCTCTAAGCCAAGGGCCTCAAACTCAAACACATGCAGGGCCCAGGCATACAGCACACGAGGACCAGAGGTCTGAGCAAAGATGGCTGGGAGTGGCGGAGGCTGGGTGGACCAAGGACCTCAGGCCCCCTCCCGGTGGGGAAAGCTCTTATTCCTCTCCAGCCAGTTGTTGCCATGTGTGGATGTGGCCTGGATCTACAGCTACTAAACTTTTGGCCTTTTAAGAAATCTGGAAGAACAGATGCTCAGGGGACAGTCTTAGGCAGTTTTTGTTTTCAGTGTTCTGCAGGCAGAACTATGAGCTTCTGATCTGGCCTGAGCCATCTTGCATAAGACTGTGTATGGAGCTGGCCTCCAATGGGGATCCTGCCCTCCTGCGGCCTAAGAGGACCCTGGGCCATGTCAGGAGGGAGGGCCATGTGGAATATAACAGGGCTTCCTTTCGGCTTCTAGGTTCCTGGACCACCAGGGCCAGAGGGGCCTCCTGGACCTCCGGTGAGTTTGAAGGCTTTGTTGGCAACAGTTCAGTCCACTGTGGTCAGTTCCCCAATGTCCCTCCCATGTTAAACACTCCATCTCAGGGACACTGCGGAGCCTGTGGCATTGCCTCCTTCTCTGGAAACAGTTGGCCCACATGGCAGCCCTCACTTCTTCTCTAAGCTCTGCCCACCCTTTACTTAATCCTTTGCTGTCAGACATCTGCTCCTCCCCATCCTCCTCCCTGCTACCCAGCTGGCAAGAAAGCAGGATTAATATAGAAAATGGCCCATTAAAAAAAAAGAAAGAGGAGGAAGGAAGTAACCCATTAACTCTAGTCTGGAGGGTTGGCCTCCCTGTGATTATAGAAATGTAACCTGGGACCCCTTCCCACTGTACCCAGAGGGCCCCATGCACCCTCGTCCAACAGATGCGCATCTGCACCTCTGCATGGCCCACAGTCCCCGTGGCACTGTGTGTCACCTGTCGTCACAGGTAGAAATAGTAACAGCAATAGTGAGCATAGCCAAACACTACACACTTCGTATGCACTAATTTATTTCATTTTTGCTGTATTTCCTCGGTCTCCCTTTCATGAGATTCTGGGTCAGCTATGGGAGCCACAGAGAAATTTTCTGTCAGCCCTTGGCTGAAGAAGACTGGCTCCAACTGTACCCCCGAAAGCCCCACACAGTCCACCTCCTCACATTTCCTTCTCACCCCTGGACCACATTCTGCACTCAAAGCCCAGCCAGCCCGAGGGTAGGGAAGCGAACTAGAAACACGGCTCTAATGCACCTTGTTTTGATTCCAAATGCAGGGGCTCCAAGGTCTACCTGGACCAAAGGTAAGAAGAAGGAGCTGGCGGAAGGCAGGGGGAGGGGCTGGGCCAGCGAGGGCAGAAAAGAGGGAAAGGCTCAGAACCCAGATGACCCATCTCTCTAAATGACCCCATGTGATGCTCCAGTCGTGGGGTGCCACTGGGCAGAACGAGCTCCCACACTCCCATTAACATCCAGCACTGCACCTGGCTTTCTTGGGACACAGGATTTTCCCATCCATCTGTTGGTTCCACAGGGCGGCAGGCTGGATTCTTAGAAAACCCCTTTCCCATCTCACCTGCCCTAGACTCCTCACTCACCCTGAAGTACAGGAGGAAAACAGGTTTAGCCCAGGGCCAATCTCACTGGTCTCCTGCAAAGCACTGCAAATGAACAAAACGGGCCGGCAGCTAGTGGCAGGACAGTGGCCCCTACCTTCTGTCCTGATATTGTTCAGGGGACTTAGGGGAGTTTCTTCTCCCAACAAGTGGGTGAAGCTCTGAGGTCCAAAGGTGGTGTTTGGGGCAGCTACCAGCAAATCCTGTAGGGTCCTAGTTTTTCCATCCTGTCCTGACGCCTGACCCAGAACTTCCCTGGGTACTGTCCCCACTCTGTGCATCCCTTTTGCTATAAGTGCTAACTGTGACAAAGACAGGCTGGTGACTCGGGGATGCTTGGCATGCCCAGCCCGCCACCGCTGGCCCGACCACCTTCACCTCCTCCCTCCCGTACAAACAGAACAAGATGGGAAAGGGTGTCTGTGACGTTCCCTTCTGTGATCTCCTCTATCTCCCTCTCCTCCAGGGGGAAGCAGGACTAGATGGAGCAAAAGGAGAGAAGGGTGTCCAGGGAGAAAAAGGAGACCGAGGGCCTCTGGGATTACCCGTAAGTATCTGGGCCCCGGCAAGACCACTGTGAGGAGCCCACTGGTGTGGCCCTGACCAGGAACTGGGGTGAAAGCTGCTTGAAAAGTCCAGGTTCTGAAGTTCTGAGTGTTCCAAGGCTCTGTGTGGCCTTCCCTCCCACCTGGGCAGGCTTTAATTTTCTGAGCATCTTCCCCGGATCAAGCCTTGCCTTGGTGCTGGGAGAATGAAGCTAAGTAGGACAACGTTCCCACCCTAAGGAGGTCAGGCGGAAAGGCAGAGGACCCAGAACCACCTCGGGACCTGCTTGTGCCTGATTCAGGGCAGTCAAGTCTGCTATCAAGGGCAATCAAGGGAGCTCAGCATGGAGGGGTTAGGGAGCAGGTCTGCTATGTGGGAGCTCAGCATGGAGGGGTTAGGGAGCAGGTCTGCTATGTGGGAGCTCAGCATGGAGGGGTTAGGGAGCAGGTCTGCTATGTGGGAGCTCAGCATGGAGGGGTTAGGGAGCAGGTCTGCTATGTGGGAGCTCAGCATGGAGGGGTTAGGGAGCAGTGGAGCAGTGAGGTGTCCTCCATCTCACCCCTACATCCCAGAAGGACCTCCAAGAAAACCTTGCTCTGTCCTCTTAAGCACTAGCCTCAGCACTGACGAATGTAACAGTCTGACTCTGTGGTCCCAGCAGACTAAGCCCATTCTTACTCAAGATCCCAGAGAGTTCTGCCTGCTCAGAGTTAGAGGCCCCTGGTCAGTGGCTTAGGCTGCTCAGAAGGCATCTACTTGTCCAGAAGTAGGGCTGGGCTGGGGGGGCTCATCCCTTTGTCCATGGCCCCATATCTTGGTGGTCTTGTCACTGCCCCCCTGTGCCCAGGTGAGCACATCACACACCCTACCAATGTTGGCACCCAGTGAGCTGGGTTTTCAAGAACTGGAAGGGGTATTAGTGAACTATCTCATTATTTCATCAATGGCCACTGAGGTCACACAGGAACTTGGTGGACAGACTGGGCCAGATGTTGCTCCTCTACGGAGTACACATCTTTGCAAAAGAGCTCCTTTCAGCTATTCTGTCTTCCTCCGTCCCCCCACTCAAGGGTTGTCCCCACCCCAGTAGCCATAAAAGTCAGAGCAACAGTGGGAAACCAGTTACCCCAGCTCTGCAGATCTGGTTAATGCAATCATAGCCAATGCAAAAGATATAATTATACCCTCCTGAATGCACAAATGTAGGAATATTTAAGAAACTGATTTCCATGACAGGCTACAAAAAAAATCAGTGACTTGAACAGACATTTTCCTTACTGTAGCTGTGCCTGCAATGTGTAAGTCCTCCTTCCTACGGAGACTCCTTCCTGTCTGCTCACACACACAAATCTCTCTTCACCCACCTTCATGGCCCCAACAACTCCAGCGGACATTGGAGAATGAAGTCAAGGGCTGACAGGTGACACGATGCATGTGAAAGGCCGAGTCTTTAGGTTCTCAGTGTTGGGCCCACATGGCTCTGGGACTGCTCTTGGCCCTTCAGGCTGCAGCTGAGGTTCTCAACCCCAGTGTGCATTAGCGTGCAACCCCAGTGCCCAGTCTCTTGAATTCTGCAGCTTTTGGACAGAGGCGTGCCCCTGTGTTGGAGACTCTGATGGAACTGGGGAGGGATGGGGTCTGGGAATCTGCAGTGTGTGATATCAGAAGTCGCTGACATGCGCTGGGGTTGAGAACCTCAGCTGTAGGCTGAAAGACCAAGGCCAGTTCCGGAACCACACGGGCCTAACACTGAGAACTAAGGCCTTGGTGAGTCTTCTACCTGATGCTTTTTTTCTGGGAGGAATCAGCTCCCTGGCCTCCTTTCCAGGGCTCTTCCTCCACCCTAAAATCCTGAGGCTGAGGCTCATCTCTGAACTCAGTTGGAAGCAGCTTCCAGGAATTCAGTTCTTATTAGCTAGGGAACTCTGGCTGCCTTCTCCTTGGCTAATCACATTGGTCCCTTTAGAAAATGTCCCCCTAGCTTTCCTAGGTGGGCTGCAGGAGCAGCTTCTTAGCCTGGCATTGGGTAAGAGTAGGTGTGAGTCTGAATAATGTCCCGCCTGCCTGTTTTCCATGGGAGATACGTGGCCTTGGACCTATGGTCCAGTCAGCTGCCTTCAAGGCCTCTTTTATAAAGGGGCTTGTTTGCAGCGTTATGCACAGATTGGGTTTGTGTTAGATTCTGCAGATGATAAAATACCAGAGAAATGTCAAGCACTATCAGTGTTCTCACTCAGGGGTTGACTCTTCCAGCCAGCTTCCACCCAAGTTTCCAAAGCAGATGCAGGAGCTCAGGGCTGACCAGATAAGGGGAGTGCAGGGGGAGGGGCTCGGCCTGATCTCAACCAGCGTGCAGGAGGCTGACAAGGGCCCCCTTGTCTGGGTCCTCAGTGAGGCTTCATCCTTACCAGGAATCCACTACTGGGTAGAGTGCACAGCCCTGAATCCAAACGTCTACCAGGATTCCCTTTCTTACCCCTTTCCCTGGAGCCCTGAGGTCCCCTAGGCAAGGGGTTCCTGAGATGGGGCACAAGGGGAGGGGGGGGTGTGGAGGACCAGAGCAGCCTCTGTGTTGGTCTCTGCCCAGCCTGCTCAGCAGTGGCCACAGCGTTTGGTGTCTCTGTGTCGTCCTGGTCTCCATGTAAATACACTCCCTGTCCTCCAGGCTCATTCCTCCCGTCGTGTTTGATGCCAGCGTTTGTGTCTGTCCAGAGTCATGCTTACTCACCTCTTCCCTTCCCATTGTCCCTTTCTCTCCCTCCCAATCCTCCCTTCCCCTTCTTTTGGTCAAACTGTGCCCTTCGTCCAGGGAGCTTCAGGTTTGGACGGCAGGCCGGGGCCACCGGTGAGTGTCACTTCACCCCAGTTCCCCCCCCCCATTCTGCCCCACTCCCAGCCTGTGATCCCTCCTGTCTGTCCCACTGTGACCTCGTTTCCTTAGTGAGTCATTCCTTATCCCCACCATGGACACCAGAAAGGTCCACACTCAGTTCAGAGTGCTTTTGCAGGCCTCCTGGCCTAAGAGGGCAGGGCTGGCCTGCACCCAAGAGCTCCATCCCCTCTGTGCACCCAGGGGCCCTGGGCCTGCAGGCACCATCCCAGACCCCGAAGGACAGCTGAGTCCCCAGCAATCACACCAGTGTCTGTATGTGCCGGTCCTGCTGTGTTGTCTTCATGCTGTGAACCCTGTCCTTCTCCTGTCTGCCTATGGGGCTTGGCCAGCCTGGTGGGTGTGGGCATAGTAGACAGGCCAGTTCCAGCTCTGTGTCCTGTGCACATGTTTCAACCATAGACCTTTCACTGCCAGGGCCCACTGCCGCCCTGCAGCCCAGCAAGGGGGTGTATTACAGAGCAGGGATGGGGCCCTGGGATCCCCTTTCTCCATTCTTCATAGAAGGGCCAAACAGCTGAGGCACCAGAGACAGTGGCCTCCTTTCCACCTTCAGTCTCCACCCTGAGCATCCATGAGGACATCAGACTGTCACTTATGGTGTGGAGATCACACCCTCTCTAGGGTCAGGAGGCCAGCTTCCCTGCTAAGGCGCCACACAAGCTGTGTGTATGCCCAGCCTCTCCCAGCCAGTGGATCCCCTGTATCCCTAGAGGCTGCTTTCGAGGCCATGTTGGCCCAAGGCCCACCTAGCAATGAGGTTTTGATGAGCAGGTGACGGAGAGAGGGGGACGAGACTCCTGCAGCTGACGTGGGACCTGCAGGAACAGTGTCAACATCCTTGCATTGAGTCTTGGCAGAAAACACTCACTTTGCCCCTCGTTTTATAGGGGGAAGACCTGACACTCAGATAGACTAGGGCACTCCTCCAGGGTCCAGGACTCGAGAGCCCGGTTCTGAGCTGTATCCGGTTCTGGCTTTTAGCTGTGCTGTCGTTGTGGATGCCCATGGCCTCCCTTCTTCCTCATAGCTGCAAAGGGCCGAGGAGATTGGCTCATAGCTCTTTTTTCTCATGTGGAAAAAATCAGCTTTTTCCCACTTGCTCATGCCCTGTTTTCACAGCTACTCTCAGAACACCTTGCACCCCACGTCTTCATCCGAGTTAGGTACATAAACACTGAGGCAGAAAAGAGCTGTGAAATACATACCTGGCCCAGTCCAGCTGCAGCGGGGGACCCAGGGAAGATGTCTGATGATGCCGGAGCCCCTGCTCTGTCTCTAAGCAACGCTGCTCCCGCGGCTTCCTCCTCCAGCTCCCTGCTGCCCTGGCTGGGAGAGTCCCTGCCCCACCTCCCTGCAGGCCCGTGCAGTGCAGACACCAGGATGTGCACTCCCTTCCAGCCTGTTCTGCAGGCCTGCAGGTGGGGATAAAAGGCCAGGCCAGCAGTTGGAGGCAGAGACAGGTCCATGGAGGGGGGGTGACAGGGTGGGTGCTGCTGAATGACCCTCTCGCCTGCCTCTGTGTGTGTCCGCATTGGTCTCTGTGGCATGAAAACCCTCCCGCTGCATGTGGAGCTGTGACAGCACAGGGTGCCAGCTCCAGCCCCTGTCCTGGAATGTGGTCACCTCCCTCCCAAGTGCTTCTGGGAGCAAACTAAGCAGCCATTCTCCTGTTGTTTTCAGCCTTGGTGAGCCTGGTTATGACGTGAAAGGGTTTCATTCCATGAATCTGGCTCTGAAGCAGCGGGGAGGTGCTTTCTACGCAGAGACCCCCAAACCCAAAAAAAAGATAACAACCCAGTCACATGAATGCCCTGAACATGCCTGGCCTCGCCAACCCTGAAAACTGGGCCTTGGACCTCGCTCATCTCCAGGTGTCGGGCAGGATTCCCAGGGCTCCCAAAACCTGGTGTCTTACCTCTGCTCTCTTTCCCTCCCAGGGCACTCCAGGACCAATTGGCATTCCAGGCCCCGCAGGACCAAAGGGCGAGAGGGTGAGCACTCCGGGAGCCCAGGTAGCCAGGTGGGAAGGATCAGGCCATTCTTCCTCAGCCCCCAGCCCGGGACCTGGGACCACACTGGTTACCACACCAGTCTCAGCCCTCATCCTTCCCTTCATCTGTCACTGTCACAGCAGCCCTTGGGAGCTGGCAGACCTATGCCCACAGGTGGGCAGCAATTTGGAAAGATGAAACACAGCCTCCACCTCAGCCTCTGCTCTCCTGGCCTCTGTCACAGGACAGCCTGACAAGGCTTCCCATACTGTTCTCACTGCCTGGGCTTACACTTGTGATGACTTAGTGACCAGCACAGAACAGTGTCCAGTGGTAATCAGAAAGTTCCCGGAGGACACTGAGAAGTGTGGAGGGGAGAGCATTAACCTTGGTCCCTGTGGTCCTTGTCAAGTGGCCCTGGCCATGTCACTTGAAACCCTGATGTCAGCCCATTCTGTGTAGAGCAGGCATAAGTGGGGTTGAGGGTGGTGGGAGGCAGCCTGGTAGAGACTGGAGAGCATGATTCTCTCTCATCCTCTCCTCGCAGCTAAACCCTGGGGCATTCATTGGGTTGTCCACCTGCTGGAAGCGCCCCCTCTGTCCACCCACCTTGCTGATTGTCTAGAACTGATGGAGGGGTGCAGCGTCTGCAGAGGGCTAATGGTTGCTCCAAGGGTTGGTTGGCTCTGAGGCTTCAGAGAAGACTTCAAATCCATTTTGTCCTTTCCTTTCTTCTGTGCCGGCCCATATACTAGTCCTCGTGGAGGGGATTGGGGGATAGGCTGTATTAGGTAGAGAGACTGAAGGGGTCCCCAGCCCCTCTGGGACAGAGTCAACACTGGCGTCCCACCCTCAATCCCCCTCCCCCATCCCCACACACAACCCTCTTTCCTGAGGCCTTTCAGGAGGTTGGTAACAGGATGTTGTTGTTGCTACATTAGCAAGGATTCATAGGCTTCTTTCTCTCGTTTCAGGGCAGCAAAGGAGATCCAGGGATGACAGGACCAATGGGGGCAGCTGGGCTTCCTGTGAGTCCCATGGGACCAGAGGGTCTCTCTCTCTCTCTCTCTCTCTCTCTCTCTCTCTCTCTCTCTCTATCTCTATCTCCCTCCCCATCTGGGCCTCCCTGTCTCTATATTTCTCCCCCTATCCCTCCCACCCCTGTACTCACTGGAAACCAGGACAAAATCGAACATCCAGAGCCTGGAGCATTCTGTGACAGAGGATGCCACCAAGACGCTACTGATGGGGAGCTGGAACTCACAAAGGCACACTCAGGGGGGCCAGGTGCTAAACCTAGGGGACCGAATCACAGGATATAACAGCACATCCAGTGCCCCTGTGTCAGGTGCATGGAGCCTCCCAGGTGGTTGAGCCACCACCTCTGCCCTCAAAGAAGGGCAGCATCAAATCCAGCTCTCCATGACACAGAAAGGAGATGCTGCAAACCCAGGCAGCTTTCCCAAGGGCACCGAAGCTTGAGGAGCAGACTGAGCTCTGCCTGCAGCCTGCTGTGCTTCATTGTAAAAGCTGAGCATCCACGCAAAAGAACCAGGATGCCTCACTGAACTGAAAGGTTGTAGTAACGTGTTATCTAAGGAGGCAAGTCCAGGCCAGTCTCTGCTCCCGCTTATTCCCCAAGAGCATTTGTCACCTTGCAAGAAGGCCTGAAATGCTAGTCATTTTGCCTGCAAGAGCCCAGCAGGAGAGCCATAGGAGCACTCCTCTGCCAGGAGCACCCTGTGCCTGTCTGCCAGGCCCTCAGAACCGACCATTCATCTGCAGTCGTGACCTCGGAAGAACACAGCGGGGACACAGACTCAAGTGCAAGAAAGCCAGAATCATGTTGGCTTTGCCCATAACTCAACATTCACCTCTGGGTCAGGTTCCTTGGAGGACTGGCTCATCTGTCCTTCTGTAAAATGGGGATGATTAAGCCCGTCTCCCCTGAATTAGGCGTCAGCAGGGAGCTTTCTAAGCCTGAGCGAAGACTGTGCAACTGGCTATTCTGTATCTGCTCATTAACATGCCCTCGTTTCTCTGATTTATTTCAGGGTTTACACGGACCACCCGGGGATAAAGGAAACCGGGTAAATCGGAGCCCTCATACTTTGACCCTGGTTACTAATGTTTTCATGATGAGGTGGAATGATCGACTGGGGTGTCCTGACCTAACATGGAAATGCAGTATTTCCTGATAAATCACCCTAAACTGAAAGGGTTTATAGCAAGGTGCTTAATCCATGGCTCGCAGGGAGCCTGGCTAATCCTGAAATTGAAGTGTGTACGGTTCCACATTTCAGGGGAGCCTAAATCCCACAGTGGCCATCAGATTAGCATTGCCATCCAGTAACAGGAGCTACGTGTCCAGCCCTCTCCATGTTGCCCTGATAATAGGCCCCTAAGTGATATTTTTAGATCCATCATTACATTGTCTTGGCCTTCTGAAAGTTAGATTTGCCAGGCACCCCAGGCCACTGGTGAATGAGAAAATAAAGTCCAGTTCCTAGAAGGCAGAAAGCTGTTATAAGCAACCAAGCCTTTAAAAAAAATATTATAACTATTTCTCTCAAAAAGGGTCTGCCAGCCTCCCAGGCTGCTTGTCTCTTCTCTGGTTCCTTCCGTCTTCACAGGATGCACTGAGCGGCCACGGCACCCACAGCCACACGATAGTGTGTGACACAGGCCATGGCCCTGGGCAAGTGGGCACAGTGTGGATAATTTTCCTGTGACCAAGAAATGTCTTGGGTCTCTCTCCTCTGTGACATCCTCACAGTGGCCCTTGGTGCAGGGCACATGCCCCCAGAGACCCCGAGCCATCTTCTGGTGGGTCCAAAAAATCTCAGAAAGAATGGGAGTAGCAGATGGAGAAACATAGCCCAGAATAAGGGCAAGATGAACTGATCTCTCCAGAGCACTAAAGGCAGAACACATGAGTTCCAGAACCCCGTTCTTATGACCAAATCTTCTAAAGTTGGTACCCTGCTCATGGATAGAAAGTGCCATAATCCGTATGTTCACATGTAGCACCAATTTCATTCCATTCTCTTCAGTGTAAGAAGTATTGAGTGCCTCTATATCGCCAAATACTCCTCACTGGAAGCTTGTCAAAAACAACTCAATTTGTCCCATAAATTGTATAAACCAATGAGAGCAGGCAGAACTGTCCCTACCAGATGACCCATGGCAAAACCAAGTCTAGCAGCTACTGGAATAAACAGATCTAATTCTGGATCTGTGGCCAATTTTCAAGGCTGGGAAGTCACTTGGAGCAGCATTGAGGAATTTAGGTCTGGACAAATGTGATCATTCCACCTCTTTAGGAGCATGCTAACCTCCTTTCTGACTTACTGCTAAAGTGTTCTGGTTTTATTATATTTGATTTATATTTTCAAAACCTATTTCTTGAGACATTTCCAGTTGGCTTAAGGCACTGAGCTGTTTGAAGGCTGCAGAATCAGTCCTTCTAGTGACAGGGATGACTTTGCTGTGGAACTGGAGGAGGGCAGAGAAGGTGCGCTTGTCACAGATGAAGGCAAGAGGAAGAGATGGCTCAGGCTGATGACTCTGGTGCCAAAGGAATTTAAGTTGTTGAATAATCAGCTGAGGTCCTGGGAATTAGTGGGAAAATCGTTCTTGTCAGCTTCTCTTTCCTGGAGTTGACAATTTTCCCACCCCTATATAAATCAGAATAAGTCACTTAGTCAAAGTCAAGTTCAGAAAATAGTACAGTTGCCCAAAGTATGCCATAAAAAGCCACTTCATTTATGCCACTGAGCAGTTTTCCGAATCAAGAAATGGCTCTCCTCATCATCCAAGAGATTTATCACTCCTAATTCACACCTTTTTTTTTGCCACCAGCCCTATCAAGATTTTGGGGGGAGATTGAGAACTCGTTAACAAGCCTTCCAAAAGTCTGAGTATACTCAGGGAAAGATGTTTTGTATTGTTTGTTTTTCTACTGAAAGCTCAGGATTTTGATGCTTTCATCAGTAAAATGCTACCAGACTAAGCCCATATTCTGGTTAGAAGCCCTGTTGTTCCCCTAAAAGATGAAGCCAAGCTTGTTGAACACCCCCCCCCCAGTTTTAGAGGGTGACTCCCCATAGGCAGCTCCCTAATTCTGTCCCCATGATGCCTAGGGGACCCTATTAGAGATCTGTTTTACCTTTCGGTGAACCATGACACAGCTTAAAGATCCTGCTGCTCTGTGTCCCCACCCAGGATAATCTGGAAGCTTCTTTCAAGTCAGGGAAGGAAGGAGCTCCTCATGGTAGGGCCCAAAGACCCAGGCCTCAAACAGGAGCTTACTAAGAACACATGTGACAACAGAAAGGTTGCTCTGTTCTGGTCTCTAAGTAGCTCTGTGAAACCGTCCCAGAGCCACAAGTGGGACAAATCAGAACATAAAGGACAAGGTGGGTCTAGCTAGCACTTTGGTCATCAGAAAGATTGGGTGCTGCCACCGAGCGGCCGGGCAGCCAGCCAACTGGAAAGGTCTGAGGCCACTGAGAAGCCTGCCAGGATGTGAGTGTGTGTGTGTGTGTGTGTGTGTGCACACGCATGTGCATGCCTCGCTTCTCTCACCCTCCTTGCCTCCTCCTCTCCCCTCAGCACTCTCTTTTGGCCTGGGCCTTCTTCTTCCTTCCCGTACTTTTATCGTTCCCCTATTATAATCCCACATCCCTCATCTTCCCCCCCCCCGCCCCCGTCCCTCCCAACCTTCCCAGGTATTTCCTCAGAAACCAGCTTCCTTTGTTGGTTAAGAAACTCTACACTTGACTTTTCTGCCCCCTTTCCCCTTACCAGCTAGAATCCCCCTGCAGGGCCTCTCCTGTGCCCATCTCTGGGGCAGGAGGCTGGGAGGAGGTAGGGAGAGCCACTGGTCTCACATCCTCCAAGGGTACCTGACTTGGGAAGGTGCACAGGCCCTCAGAATGAGGTGCGCCACACTTAGTGACCATGAGCACAGTAGGGAAGTCAACATTCAGCCCACCCTAAGCCCCCTGAAAGTCATCTAAGACCCGGACTCTCCCATTCTCTGGCAGTTTGGACCACCTTAGTTAGGAAACTGTACTCACACCCAAGAGTGAAGGGCCCCCTCCCAGGGACATTTCCCATGGGCTTCTCCATCCAAATGGCTCCATCCATTTAGGCCTTCCTGATGCCATGCAGCCCTCCTCGGGGGCAAGCCTTCTTGCTGATGGGATCACACTTAGGATGTAGATGCATGTTTCCTCTTAAGCACATCACATTCTAAGTAAGGATGTGTGCTTTAGAAAATTCACTCAGAATAACACACTGGTGATTGCAGAGGGTCTCTGGCATCAAGAAATTTGGTAATTTCCAAACATCCAAGGAAATTTTCTAGCATTTCAATCATCAGGGAAATCTGGTGTTACCAAGTATTCCTAATGTCTACCTCCTTCTAACAAATCTGATCCCCAAAGCCTTTCCCTGCAGAGCCCTCAGATGTGGCAAGACATTGGGCCCTCTAGCTGTAGCTTTAACTCCTTTACTAGTTGACAAAAAATAACAATCATTATTATCATCAGGAAGCAGCTATCTGCTGAGCATGTGCTCTATACCTTACTAAGCATGCACTCAGGAACACACAGACCTCACTACAAACTGCTGACATGGATGTTATTGTACCCACTCTATAGGTGAAGAAACTGAGGTTCAGAGAGGTTAACTCACTTCCCAAAGTCTATGCCACTTATAATTGGCAGGACCAGCTCGGACTCCAAGCCTTTGTTTTGACCAAAATGCTCCCAAGCCTTCAGGTCTTGTCATCTAAAATGACACTGTGGAAATCTCCAAACATGAGATGAGAGAAAAGAGTCCTGGGAAATCCCCTAGGGGTGCGCTTGCTCCCTTTTTGAGGAAACATAACATGTGGAGATCCAGATTCCAATTCATTACAAAGTGATTCTTCCCTTTTAGGAATTCCCTGCAGCTCTTCTTTAACTGAACCCCAGCACATTTAGAAAATAGGGCCAATTTAGATGACATTTTCAGAAACAAATGAATTCCATGAACCTCCATATCCACATACAGATAGTTCTCTATGATGAAATAAAATGAAACAGCTGTCTGTGACTTCAGGCCAGGATGAACCAGAAATGCACATGCAATGGGAGAACCCAGGTGAGAGCCACACACACCCACGTGCACATGTGCACACATCAGGACACGTGCACACAGGCACACTACATATACACAGAATAGCCCACACCCGCACGTGCTAACAGGCTGCAGGTGTATACGCTCACCTGGGCCATGCTTGCACACACGTGCAGGCAGACATACACCCAAAACTCTGAACAAAATCATCTTGATCCCTACTAGAATATCAGAGAGATGAAAATTAATTGATACAAAATGTCGTGCGCCCAAAGCCCTTCAAAACTAGGTTCTCAAAGGGAAGGTTGCCCTTTCGTCACGCAGTTCACCTCAGACCCTCCCTGGGCTTAGTATTAGCAAAAGTGGGCTTCAGAGTCTTCAGTCACCTCCCAGCCCCGCTTAGCCAAATTCTGAGAAACCTAAAGGGGAGAGGTGGGCATTGCTCCCAAAGCCTGCTGCTGGGCAGAATGTCCTAATTAAGAACCATTCTATTTTTTCCTCTTTAACTTGATTTTTGTTTTCTGTCTCTAACCTTAACATGTGAATGATCCTAAAGTTTTGATGTTTGTTTTCTCCTCCCTTGGACTAAACTATTATTTACAGGGGGAGAGGGGGAAGAAAGGCTCTAGAGGGCCTAAAGGGGATAAGGGAGACCAAGGAGCGCCTGGATTAGATGCCCCCTGTCCGTTGGTATGTTTTCATCTCTCACTTGTATTGCTCTGGTTTTCTCCTTGAGGTTTGCAAGTTTAAAACAAAGAAGGCAAATCAACCAAGATGAGAACCAAATGACTGCACTGATGCGACCAAAGTCTGTCTGCTCACTGAAATTCTGCCAGCTGTGGGTGTTGCCTTTCAACCCCAGCTGCAAACAATTATGGCTCAATCCTTTTCCTTTGAATCCTTTTTCTTTGAAGATGCAGAACAATTGAAGCATGGAAGTGAAGAAACCACCAGGAAAGGGGGTTTTGGAGAAGGCCTCGGCGCTTGGCTCCATTCTGGCTTTGGAAACCAGAGGAGCATTTGTGAGCCATGATTTGCCTTCTTTGTTTTGTGGTCACTTCTGTGGCCAGACGTTCTAGTTATCTGAATCCTCACTTGGTCAGGATGCAGGACACCCGAGTTAGAATCTCCTGAGGGCCCCTGATGCTCGGTACTGGGCAGAACAAGGCCACACAAGGGGCTTTTCAGACACAGCCTCACAATGCCCACCAGCCAGCAAAAACCTGAAAGCTACAGACCAAAATCAGTAGGGTGACACCCACAGAAGCCTTCCCAAAAGAGCCAGCATCTAACGATGTATTGCGCATCTGGCGGGTTTCTCCTGTCCCCTTTCAGTCCACCCAAAGGTTCTGAAAACTAAGATGTGTGAAGGTTACCTGTGATTGCCCCGTGTGACTCTGTAACCAGAGAGGGGGTCAGTGCAGGGAGCTGGCTGTATGCGACTCCTGGCTGAGCTCTGCTGCCACAGAGGCTGAACGTGGGACATGAGGGACCAACTGGGACTTAGTTTAGGTGTGAAGTGTGGGATATCGAGGGTCCTGCATCCTGGCCAGGTTAGGACTGGGCCTCTCCACTCCGCAGTTGGAGCTGGCCACCCTTGACCTGAATAATCATCGTGGTTGATTTTGTAAACAGGGACATCGAGGTTTTAAAGGAGAGAAAGGGGAACCGGGGTTACCGGGGCTGGACGGACTGGATGCCCCATGCCCATTGGTATGGCATCACCCTGCCTGCCTGCATGGTCGATTTGGGCTTCCCATGTGTGTGGTTTAGGCCCGTGTGCTTTCTGCTCCATCTGCCCAGGAATCGTGTCCACTTCACTCCATAGATACCGAGGGTCACCTGCCTAATGCTCAGAGGGCTCCCGCACGCCGCTCTCTTGCATGCGAAGTTTGCTGGGTGTTTTCTTGGCTTCTTCCTGTAACTGTTTCTGATGCACCTCACCTTGGTCTCCCATCCCGCAAGCAAGCTTTGACTGTTCTGCTCCTTCCAGATACTTCTGCCACCAGAGATAAACTAGGGAAGTGCATTCTCTCGTCAGGTTCTTGTCCTCTGTGCTGTGCATTTAGGGCAGAATGCACCTGTCAAACACTTAAGCCTTGGCAATGAATACCTGGGTCACCCCACCTCCTCGCCCTCCCTTATCTCACAGTTTGGCCAGGGGCAGATGGGCATGTTACAGACAGGGTAAACTGAGGAGTTCGGCTAAGGTGAGAAGGGAAGTACTGGGCCTGTTCTTCCGGGCTGGGTTCTGGGTCACAGCCAGGAGGACACCAGGAAAACTAAGGGACAGTCCAAGATCAGGTGTTCAGATCCTAAAAGGCTTGTTCTCCTTGCTTAAATCCCAGAAGACATTAGGTCTGCTCTGTCTCTGCCCTGGGGCCTGCAATTCTGGCATCTGGCTGCCTTGCTAATAGATGGAACCAGGACCTTTGTATGCCCAGCATGGGGTGACCTTATAGGGCACATGGCCTGTGTAGGCCCAGCACAGGGCGAGCACATGGAGGAGCACGCCTCCTACCCACTGGCTACCCGCATCTACCCACATGCAGCCTGCCAAGCATGCTTCTCAGCTGCAGGTGTCACCTGTCTCCGTGAGTCCCCATGGGCCTCCCTGGGCCACCATCCTCTCCCATCTATGAGTACTTTCAGTTCTGTGCCACCACCACAGCCTCCTGCTTCTCACTGCATGTGACTTTCCCTTCTCTGCCTGCCCCGCTCACTGCCCCTGCCGCCAATGGGAATGCCCTATGGCCCACGGAGGCTCCTCTCCCTCCAGAGACTATGTAGACTGTGTCATAGCACAGCAGGCTGGAAAGATGGCAGAGGGCTCCCAGGACCCTGTGGGATGCACCAGCTACCTGTGCAGTCCCTTCCCTGGCTCGGGGGGGGGGGGGAAATAAATGTCATCCCTTCATGCAAAGTGATGTTTTTCTCCAGCAGCATCCCACGGCAATGTATCATTTGTCTATTAATTCCACAGAAGGAACCATAGCTTACCTTTCTTGCATCTCATTCTGTCCTGCATTGCATTCTTATGAGTTAGGGAGCAGGAGATCATGACTTTTAGTACAAGAGAACTCAGTGTCTTCCTTCCTCATGTCCGACAGCACCTGCTGAAGGCAGGGTGACAAGGGAATCAGGTGCCTGGTGCCACAGAAGATACTTGGCCGACCTCCCTGCCTCCCTGCAGGACTGAGCACTTTCTCCTCCCCTGAGCCCCCAGGTCTGCTCTGGCCCTGCCCCGAGGCCTACAGTGCTGGGATCCGGCTGCCTTGCTAGGAGATGGGACTCAGAACCTGAGCTCCAGCCTTGGTTCAGCCTTGCCTGCTAGGCCATTGCTAGGCTCCCCTGAGGCTACATTCTGAGGCTACAGGGTGCTCTATAGTTGCCACAAACCATGTATATTTGCTACCCCGCCCTACTCTTTTGCCCCCAAGTCCCCAGCAATGTCTGAGGCCTGGCCAGACCCTTGCCCTCTTGCTGAAGGCACCTCTGGGTCATGTTTCAGCACCCCTGAACGCCTGTCATTTTTTTTTGCTCCCAACCCCGACCCAGGACTGACCATTACCAAGACTATCTAGGTGTCCTCCCAGGCTTAGAAAGAAACAAATGAGGGGTCAGGCCAGCTGGGAGTGTCACTGCCCCTCTCCCTCTGCCTGGATTTTGCAATGGGAGAAACAGAGTCCCAAGTGCTGAGTGACAAGCACCCAGCACTCCACAGAGCAGCAGCCATCCTCTCCTGGCCCTCCAAGACCTCTGTGCTTGCCGATCCTGCGGCTAGGACAGCCCCCTCTTGGCCTGACACTGCAGCCCCTGGACCTTAGCTGAGGGGAAACAGCAGCAGCGTCTATCGCCCACCCTTTCCAAGGGTTTTCACCTGGAACAGGGGTGGGTGGGTCAATCCCGAGGATCTGCCAAAATGTTTGTGGCCCTTGTCACCCCTGCCCCACCCCCTTTAGAGACCAAGCCAAGAGTCTTAGTGCTCTGCTCTCCTTCCTTCCCGCAGGGTCAAGATGGCCTGCCAGTCCAGGGATGCTGGAACAAGGTAAGCTCCTCCGAGCCGCACTTCTCAGGGGGAGGTGGACACCCTCCCCAACCAGTGTCACATGGCTCACGCAGCATCCGTTCTGCTTGCCTGCCCATGAAGCAGTGCAACATGGGTAGGAAAAGGTGCTCCTTCAAAGGCGGGTGCCCAGTGAATGCCCAGGCTCAGTACACACTTGGAAGACACTTCAAAATTTAGGTAGTGCCTGTCCTCCAAGGAGTCTGAGACCATGTTATAAAATAGGTTATCAATTAGCCACTCTCATAACATTCAGATGAAGTCATTTAAGTCACATGATGTTAATCCACGTGGAGCATACCCACCCCTTTTACTCACTAAACTCATGAGGCTTTTTTTTTTTTTTTTTTTTTTTTTAGTACCAGGGATTGAATTCAGGGCCTTTGCACTAAGCTACATCCCCGGCCCTCTTTCCTTTTCCTTTTGAGACAGATTCTTGCTGAGTTGCTAAATTGCCCAAACAGGGCTCAATCTTGCCTCGGCTACCTAGAGCGTTGGGGTCACAGGTGTGCACCACCACATCTGGCTCTCACATGGCTCCTACCCCTGCTTCTAAGGATTGTCCAGCTCCCCATCACACCCTTCCCCCTTGGACCTCAGCCATGGGAGCTCTGTGTCTGCACACATGCCACCTGCAGCCCAGTCTTTCCTGGGCTCCCAGCATTCTGGCCAGCAATGAGACTTTGCTGACTCACATCCACTTTGGCATTTGCCACCATTAAAGCAATCTGAGGACACAAGGCCAACGCTTCCACAAAATCACCCCTCTTAGCCCTGGTATCCCTAGTGCAGGGCTCCCCAGTCTGTGGCCACGGCTGCCTCTCTTGCCTCCTGCTCAGCATCCTCTCTCCAGCTCTCCACCAGCACTGTCTCAGCTTATGGCTGTGTCCTCCTAACCTGCTCCAGATTCATCTAGTCCAGTCCTGTGCCAGTGACAGCACAGCCACTCGTGCAGTGAGAGGAACAAGCCCACTGTGCTGCAGTGCTCAGTGTCATTACCCTGCAGGACTGGGCGGGAGGAGTGACCAGGACACCAGGCCCTAGGTTGAACACCTATGTGTCTGGGTAAATAAAGAAAGAGGAAGCTCAACACTCAAGAGAGCTGCCTCACCTGTGTCTGTCCCTGTGAGACCTGGATAAAGATTATTATCCAGGGACACAGCCCTTTGCCCCCAAGGAAGAATTTCTTCTTCAAGGCTATGGCTGATGGTCAAAAGATAAAGATATTTCTTATCTTAGCAAGGGAACAGCATCCACTATTGAGAGAAAGAGTTTTGGAGAACTAGCGAGCTTCCTGTTGGTTGTTCTACACCCATTGAGTTCCATCTGGGACCAGGAAGGAAGCTGCCAGGCCTCCAAGATAGAATACAGAGAGTGCCCTCTAGTGACCATAAAGGGGAGTCACTGCAAGGGAAAAGGAATTTCCCCACCCTCAGGGTGCTTAACATCCACAGGAGTTTTTTCCTGCCAGAGGGGCTTATGATTCCCCAAGTGTTCTTCCCTAGAGTTCCCATCCAACCCAGGACAAGATCCTCCTCCTTGCCTACAGGGAAGTAAGCGTCCACAGACCCCTTGAAACTAACTGTACCTTGTTTTGTTTTTGTTTTGCAGTGATGCCTCTAACCTTGGATTGGCCTGTGTGTGTGTTTATACATAGAATATTTATTTTTATACAGTTTTCACTTTTTGAAAATGCCAGAACTATGATGCATCTTACAGATTATCAAAAGAAAAAGAAAAACTTGCATATTTTGTACAGAAAATAATACTTCTCCCCTTTTGTTTACAAGATTTTTGTGTAAGTCTATGTCTCTAATACACTGTTTGTGAGTACAGTCCTAATGTTTGCATGATATTTGTGCACACTTATTTCATATAAAAGCTTAATAAATTATTGTGTTCCGGTGCCAAAGAGGGCAACCAGCACCAAGGTACTGCTAGCTGGTATGTGAATTCCCATAAACACAGAGGTCGGTGGTGGTTACCAGATTAGATGTATCTAAGAATAGTTTTAAACAATTCTGGATTTTCATTATTCAAAAATGAAATGTGACAGTTCATGATCCTGATGTGTCACTAAACAGATTCTTTCTTGTGCAAGCAGGAAGTCCTGGAAGCGGACATTTCTAATGTTTTAAAGTGTTAAACTCCACATAGAGAAGGGAGGGACTCTATTAGACAACGTCTGTTGTAACTTATCCCTAGTTCATCACAGCAGCTAAGCAGTTGGGGTTCAGGCTGGAACTCCCAAAGATAAAAAGGGTCTGTTTATTGTTACGTTTAGGTTTTCGTGGGGATCTTCTGTGTATGCTTGTTTTATTTTTCCCTTTTGAGCTATAGTTATTAATGCTGTTTCCTTGATAGGAATTTGCAGGTCCACACACCTAGCTGGTGAAGGGGCTACCCTGCCATTTGACTCCAGCAAAAGACAGTCAGGAAACAGATCTGGGCCACCCGGGCCAACCTGGAGTTCTTTGTATTTATTTATTTATGGTATCAGGAATCAAACTCAGGACCTTGCACTTGCCAGGCAGGCCTTTGTGTGGCTAAGTCCCCAGCCCATTTTTATTTCTTAAGAAAACGAATTGTGTTGCTTTCCGTAAATAGCACACCACTTACAGCATGCTCTGTAAAGATATCAAGAAGCCTATTTCAGTGACTAGATCATATTATTGTGTAGCGTGAAGTTTATTTATTGTTAGCTGTTTTCCAACATGAATTGGTGCTTCTAAAGGGCTCGAATACAACTAACTCAGAAGTACAAGTCCTCCCATCCCGTTTACAGGCTACGTCTTCTTTATTCATGCTTTCTTCGTAATCTGCACAAAGAGAGACTTGAGCTCGGCTCACACAGAGGGACACAGGGCTAAAATAGCACCAACATGTTCACAATGGCCTGCCCGGCATGGGTGAGCCCACACTCCCGGCCTCTTGCTCCCGAGACCCAAGGGGCTGGCCCCAAATTCTGATTCTCTTGGTGTCTACTTGGTTATTTTGGAAATTCCTCTTCCAGGGCTCGGCTTCCTGATTTGAAGAGTGAAGCCACTGAATTACAGTTATCTCTGTGCACACGAATGGTGCTTGTCTGTCCCCTCCCCACAACACAGAAACTGCAGCCACCTAGGCTTCGGTCCCCAGCTGGCACCAGGCGCTTCGCTGCCCCGGGAGAGCTCTGGGATGTGGTGCTTTCCAGATCACCTGAGCCCAGACTCCCGGCACCTGCCCTGGGCAGCTTCTCCATAAGCATGGTGGCCCAGAGACTGGATCCATTATACCCTAAGGGGCCCCAAAACATTTTAACTTTCACTGCTTTTTAGATTCAGAATGGAAAAAGAGACTAACAATGAATCCAGCAAGGAACATATTTGCATTTCTATGGCTATCAAATACAATTTTAAAGTATCTTGCGGGGAAGGGACCCACAAAGCCCAAGTGCCTAGGCCCCCCAAAAGTCACAATACAGCCTGCTTGTGTGCCCTGCTCCCTAGAATCCAGTCTGCTCTGCCGGTCACCCATCTCCAGAGCCTGCCTCCTCACCCCAGGACAGAGCCCAAGAGCCCATCTGACCAGGTTCTTCAGAACCCGCTGCCTCGTGCCCTTTCAGGCTCTGAATAGAGCCATCACAGCTCACTGATCACCTCAGAAGCAAGCAGAACAATGACAGGAACCCCCAAAACTGAGAATCTGGATCAACTGAATCCTCCAAGCGACCATGAGCCACCACAGACCTCTCCTCCTTGATTTGGTCCTAGGGTCATTCTTTCACTCATTACACCCTGGCCACCACCACAAAGGACTCAAGGTCACCTGCTCGAAGAGCTGCAAACCAGTAGTGGTACAGGCCGTGTAATCCCAGCTGAGGGAAGCTGAGGCAGGAGGGGTCACCAGGCCAAGGAGCCTGAGGAATTTAGCAACTTAGGTCCTGTCTCAAAATTAAAAATAAAAAACAGGCTGGGGTTGTAACTCAAGGCACAGGCACCTGATTCATTCCCAGTACTTCGAGAAAAAAATAGATAAATAAAGAGGGGGGGGGGAGAAAAGGAAAGAGAAAGAAAGAAAGAAAGAAAGAAAGAAAGAAAGAAAGAAAGAAAGAAAAAGAAAATAGAAGCATGAGAAGACAGCAGCGAGGAGCCTGCAGCGAGAGGAGAGGTCCTCATCTTTACTGAGATGGGCCACACACATCACTGCAGGCCACCATTGGCCTGTGGCTTGCAGTCCCCTGAGATCTGGCCCGGCGTTCATAAGACATGGTCCCCACGTGGCGGCTGCCCCCATCTCCCTCAGCCGGGACCCTCCCTATCCATCAGGGCCGTGAGAGATATCCCGGACTCCTACTTCAGCCTCCTCCCATACGCAGACTTTTCTTGGATCTTTATTTTGGGTTTTTGTTCTGTTTTGTTGTTTTGGTTTGGGTTTTCTGGAGGTAGGGTATCCCTAGGTAGTACATCTAGCCTTGATTTCCTTTATATAGCCCAGGCTAGCCTGGAACTCACTGTGATCCTCCAGCCTCAGCCTCCTGAGTGCTGGAATTACAGGCATGACTCACCACCCCCAGATCATCTTGGATTTTAACTCTGTGCCACATGGGGTACAGAGAAGTTAGAAGAAGGGGAACGGGGCCTGATGGTACAACCTTCCTGCACTCAGGAGACTGAGCCAGGAAAAATTCAAAGCTGGCTTGGGGTACATAGTGAGTTCAAAGCTGGTCTGAACTACATAGGAAGCAGTTCAGAAGTATACAGAGTAACTGGGCACCATTCCTCATGCCAGGGCTAACCCTGACCTCCCACCTTGGCAAGGGTACCATTGTCTCCACCTTAGCCTTCAGGAGAAGGTGCTGTCCAGCCAGCCTAGAGACTTGCTTCTGGGTCCTTGTCTCCCACTAACCAGCCACCAGGCCTGAAGTATCTCACGCCAGGTCTGTGTCCCCCAGAGTCAGATGTAGCAGGTAGACTCTGCTGACCTCCATGCGGGCCACCCACTCTGGCATCCCCAACAGGTCAGCTGCTGGAGGGCCATGGATGTTGGAGCATCCTGTCCCCTCCACCTGGGCCACATGCCTTTGATCAAACGGAGCATGGCATGAGTTTGCAGCACTGTGTGCAGCATGTGTGTGCATATAACCCTGGGAAACCAAACCCTGTGGGCCTGTGCCACCCAGGAGGCAGGGAACAGGGTCTGCTTCCCTGAGGGCAAGGATGGCCGTGGAGGCTGAGTGAGGCAGCTTTGATCCCTCTGGCCCCGCAAGCATTCGGGGACACTGGCTGGCTTGGCGGGATCTGCCACCTTCCCTCACTCCTATCAGGAACAGCCCAGGCCTCTGTGATCCGGGATTTGGACACAGTGTCATGCTGCCTGAGACCCAGAGCCCCTGAGACCCCACAGCATACAAGCAGAAGAGAAGGGCAGAGTCTGAGTAACTGGCATAGAGAATTTGGGGAGCAGATGGAGGCAAGAGAGGAGTCATATTTCACTTCTCCAGAGAGCAGAGTTTTCTGGACCAAAGCTGCACCTTAGCACAGTGGCGGGGAGGACACTGCCCCAGGCACTCAGGAACAGTACCATGTGCAGAGCACCCTCGGCTTCTAAGGAAGCCTGGGCCAGAGCCACTGCGTGAGCCTGCAAAAGGAAGACACAGATGGAGTCAGGCTAGGCTGGGCCCCAGGGCATCCCCATTCTATGGCCTGCACCCACCCCCACCCTCACCACCACCCCCGCCTGCCCACACACACACACCCTCTGCTCTCCCCGCCACACCCCTGCCTCTCTGGATCGCCTTCTTCCCCTCCTTCAAGACCCAGCCTAAGCGCAGGGAAGACACTTCTGGTTCCCAAGTTGGATGAATCTCCCTGAAACTCAGGCTTCTTCTTAGTCCTCTGCCTTACATTAGAAGGGGAAGGGACCTCCTGATTAGGTGGAACCCAAGAGGTCAGGGGCTCCTTTATCAAGGGGCTTGATGTCTGGGCTCATTCACACCTACAACGGCCAAGTTATTAACCAGCTTTATGAAGCAATTACTACATGCAGGGTGTGTGCTTCCCGCAGGACAAGCAAGGTGATGGGGGTGTCAGTCTGCCCTCCAGGACTGAATAATGCAGGGAGCTGTGTGCTAAGCGCTCAGTGGGGACCACAGACAGGGCCCTGAAACAGAGGACACTGTGATGGGCCACACAGTCAGGAGCAGAGAGGATCAAGTCAGCTGGGGGTGCACAGTCACCTCCTTGACTTATGCTCCTCTCTGTTAGAATCTTGCAGTGGGACCACCCTCGGCCATGTTATCTTCTCAAATCTGGGGAGGACAACTGGGTAGGGAGGGCAGGTCCCAATTGGGGGGAGTGGGGAAGGGAGCCTTTGGCATCCGGAAGGCTCCCATAATGGACCAGTCTCTAGCAAGCCTCCTTCTCAAACACTCCCTCTCTGTACCTCCTCAAGGGCCAGAGTCCTTGGTTGGTGGCCAAGAAGTGAAGCTAGCCAGCCCCACAGCCTTGGGGAAAGTGCCTTGCCCACAAGAAGAAGAAGAAGATGGCAGAGCTGCCCCTGGACAGAGGGTCGCCGGCTGAACCTTCCTAAGGGCCTGCTTTTAGGAGCTGGTCAGAGCGTGGCCCAGGACCGCTGTCCCGGCAGTCAGGCAGACTAGTCCAGACCCTCCCACTTGGGCCTTGGGGCCTGTCTGAGGGTTTCTGCTGTGGCTATGATTTCAAGGGCTCTTGGACTCCGCTTTCTGGTGGAAACCATGGTTTTTTTGGAGCAACATCCGTGCAGCAGGGACTACCCACGGCATCAGGCCCTGACCTTGGCAAGCCTCCCCAGGAAGCAGTGACTAGAGACTGTCACCTTTCCCAGCCCCTTCTCAACAGAATTCTTCTATCTCTTGATGCTGCCACCATTAACCATTCGACTTTCTGGGTTCATTGAAACATCAGAAGCAAG